TTTAGATGTGGGGACGTAGATCGACTGGTAAATCAAGAGCTTTGCCTTTTGGCTCAGTTCCTTTTTCACCATGACAGACTGATGCAGCGCCCGCATCAATGTGGACGCCGCACCGATCCGCCTGTCGATCTCCCGCTCCATCGTCCCCCCACTCGTGAACAAGACCCCGAGGTACTTAAACTCCTCCACTTGGGGGAGGACCCCATCCCTGACCCGGAGAGAGCATTCCACCCTTTTCCGGCTGAGGACCATGGTCTCGGATTTGGAGGTGCTGATTCTCATCCCAGCCGCTTCACACTCAGCTGCGAACTGTCCCAGTGAGAGCCGAAGGTCACGGTCCGATGAGGCCAACAGAACCACATCATCTGCAAAAAGCAGAGACCTGATCCTGAGGTCACCAAACCGGACACCCTCAACGCCCTGGCTGCGCCTAGAAATTCTGTCCATAAAAACTATGAAAAGAATCAGTGACAAAGGGCAGCCCTGACGGAGTCCAACCCTCACCGGAAACAAGTCCGACTTATTGCCGCCCATGCGGACCAGACTCTGGCACCCAATACAGGGACCGAACAGCCCTTAAAAGGAAGCCCGGCACCCCATACTCCCAGAGCACCCCCCACAGGACTCCCCAAGGGACACGGTCGAATGCCTTTTCCAAGTCCACAAAACACATGTAGACTGGTTGGGCAAACTCCCATGAACCCTCCAGAACCCTGCGGAGAGTATAGAGCTGGTCCACTGTTCCACGGCCACACTGCTCCTCCTGAATCCGAGGTTCGACAATCCGGCGGACCCTCCTCTCCAGAACCCCCAAATAGACCTTACCAGGGAGGCTGATGAGTGTGATCCCCCTATAGTTGGAGCACACCCTCTGGTCCCCCTTCTTAAACAGAGGGACCACCACCCCAGTCTGCCAGTCCAGAGGCACTGCCCCCGATGTCCATGCGATGCTGCAGATGCGTGTCAGCCAGGACAGCCCCACAGCATCCAGAGCCTTAAGGAACTCCGGGCGGATCTCATCCACCCCTGGGGCTCGGCCACTGAGGAGCTTTTTAACCACCTCAGAAACCTCCGCCCCAGAGATAAGGGAGTCCACACCCAAGTCCCCATACTCTGCTTCCACATTGGAAGACGTGTCGGTGGGATTGAGGAGGTCTTCGAAGTACTCCTTCCACCAACCCAAAACGTCCCAAGTTGAGGTCAGCAGCACCCCATCCCCACCATAAACAGTGTTGATGTTGCACCGCTTTCCCACCCGGAGCCACCGGACGGTGGACCAGAATCTCCTCGAAGCCGTCCGAAAGTCGTTTTCCATGGCCTTGCCAAACTCCTCCTATACTCAAGTTTTTGCCTCAGCGACCACCAAAGCCGCACCCTGCTTGGCCTGCCGGTACCTGTCAGCTGCCTCTGGAGTCCCACAGGCTAAAAAGGCCCAATAGGACTCCTTCTTCAGCTTGACGGCATCCCTCACCACTGGTGTCCACCAGCGGGTTCGGGGATTGCCGCCACGACAGGCACCGACCACCTTACGGCCACAGCTCCGGTCAGCCGCCTCCACAATGGAGGCACAGAACATGGCCCATTCGGACTCAATGTCCCCCGCCTCCCCCGGGACATGGGAGAAGTTCTGCCGGAGGTAGGAGTTGAAACTCCTGACAGGGGATTCCGCCAGACGTTCCTAGCAGACCCTCACTATACGCTTGGGCCTGCCAGGTCTGACCAGCTTCCTCCCCCACCAGCGGAGCCAACCCACCACCAGGTAGTGATCAGTTGACAGCTCTGATTTCAGAATCAGAATACACTTCTGATTTCAGATATTTTAGTTACATTTTACTTAAAACTATTTCTTAATGTTTACTAGGGTCACAAATCATTTTTTTGAGTGTACTCTGTTCTTTTATTGTAGATTTTTTGCAACTGAATCTTATGTCTACAAAGATTTTGATATTTATCCTAAGAATGAGTTTGCCTTTTCTAATATACAAATTTCACTTTCCAGTTTTTTGTATTAATTTCATACTTTCTTTTTTATTTTTGATGTATGTGCAATCAGTTTTCCTATAATATATGCTTTTGATGCCTCCCAAACTGATGCTAATGTTTCTGGTGTTCCTATGTTGATTTCAAAAAGAGTTCAAATTCTCCACCAACAATGTACTGAACCTCTCAACCTGTAATAACATGGATTTCATTCACCATCTACCCCTTTTCATTATTTCTGTGTTCAAGGTAATATCTAATTTGATCTAATTTTGCATGGTCTGACAATGCTAGTGAGCCCATTTTACAATCTAGTACTTGTTCAGCAGTGGAGTTGAATACCAAAAAAATCTATTCTAGAGTTGGATTTGAAGGATTAACCACGTTTCTTTTGTCGTGAATGATTAATGAAATATGTAGCCAACCCAGCATTGGTTAAATTTTTGGGCTTCATTGTCTTGTAGGTAGTGTTGTAGTACTCGAGACCGGTCTTAGTCTTGTCTCAGAATCAACTTTATTTTGACTTGGTCTTGTCTTGGACATAGAGGACTCAAGGTTTTATTTCAAGACCAGTAAAGACCACTCATCAAAATGCCTCAGTACAGCCGGAGAAAAAAATGAGACAACTCTAAATTTGTAAACAAATCTGCATTTTTAAATCCTGATTTAATCCTGGTCCTGCTGGCAGAAGGCTATGCTGAGCTGCAAGATTCTTTCAGGTTCAAAATTTCTAAGACAACAGTACACAAAAATAAGGTGAAGCAGGAGACACTGGGAACAACCAGAAGTGCACTGCTAGGATAGTTTGTATCAGTCTTATGCCTTGTCCACACGTACACGGGTATATTTTAAAACGTACCTTTTTCTATACGTCTTGGGCTTTTGCCCACACGTAAACGGCTTCTCATATCACTGAAAACGGAGCTTTTGCAAAACTCCATCCAGGGTGAAGATTTCAAGAAACTCCGTTTTCAGCGTCGACATGTAGACAGGGAAAACTACTGTAATATGGGGCATTGGTGGCTGCCCTTCGCAGACAGCTTGTTCTACAAAGAGCAAGTTGATGGAGGCGTAAAAAGAATTTCTCCATGAGGGACAATAAAGGTTAAATTATTATTATTGGGTACCACTAACTATCCACCCTTACAGCTATTCAACTAGACATTGCTGTGGGCAGCCACAAATCCCAATCTCCACCACTGCAATTATTTCCCAACAAATATGATTACTGTTTCAGTCCTTCATGCTACAATTTACCTTGATAAACTTCTCTGTTTCCTCACTGGTGGTGAAAGCACAACCCTCTCTTTTCATATGAAGTGAGGAGATACAGGATAAGTGAGGGTATATCTGATTTCCACACCTTGTAGAATCTTTAAAGCAGCCATAAATGATTTGCGCTACTGAGCTAATTCTCTTGAGAAGTCAAGGAATATAGAGATCTTGCAGTTCCTCCACACAACTCGCTAGCCAATCTAAGCACTTTCCCTCTCGCAGAGGGGCCTAAAAACCTAATCGTCACTAGCCTTGGCAGCTTGTTTTCCGGTGGTTTGGGAATGGCAGCCCAATGCACTCTTTCGATCCCAAACTCTGTGGTCGAGTCAATGCCAAGTCCCTCGGACTGGACCTTTTGCTCACAGATTATCTACTCACCCACTTCCAAACTTTCTTTCAGGCCTACAATCCTGACATTACTGCACCAACTCCTGTTCTCAAGATATTCATTATGATTTCAGAGATTTTTAAGCAGTTAATCATTTTTCTCTTTTTTACCCGCAAGTTGTGTGGTGATGTCCTCCACCTTAGAAATACGGCCTTCAGCCTCTGATGGAGTTTTTGCAACTAGTCCATAGTTTCTTTAATTGAGGTCCCATCATCTGATAGATGCTCATGGAGCCTGTGGTGGTGCCTTTGAAATATTTTGATGCTGTTGTTGACATGTTTTTATTTATAACTGAACCCATATGGAGAGTTATCTTACAGATGAAGGGTAATGTGGGACATGAATTTTTCTTAACAATGTAGACTAAATGTAACTATATAAGTTAAATTTAAAGATGGATTCCGGGGACCCCTGCTTGGTGGACCCATGTGACTCCAGCAAGTGGATTCTTGATCAAATCAAAGTTTGAAATTTCACTTGAAGCTAAACTGAGCAGGTGTAAGTCATCTTCACTTGGGCGTATTATTAGAAGACCCAGTGTATTGGGGGGTGGGAGACTACAATCCTTGGAGAAGTTTAAGATAAAAGAGAAAGACAACAACCAGAGAGGTACCTGTGATATGGTAGCTATGAATTGACACTAACTTAAAAATAATAGTGACAATAAACCCTGATGTTGTTCAAATTCATACCTTTAAAAACAGGGACTCAGGAATTCTACACTGCCAATAAGAAAATAAACGTACAAAATAAACATACATTTGAGGTCATACGAAGTCTGATTCCAATCACACTAAAACTGGGCAATTTGTTTTTTAACAACACTGAGTATATTCGGTTGCAGTAGAAATTCAAAATGACTTAATTGGTTTAATAAAACGCGTGCTTTTCGCAAAACCATAACCATGAGGACTTCCGATGCAAAAACGTCCAAGGAAATCGCTGCCTTAACCGATTTCCATGCCACGGTAGAGACAGCGTAGCATCGGCACCCAGAGACACATTTCTTCCTGGGTCGCAGCGTCAGCGTTGTTGTGCTGAAGCGCTCCGATCAGCTTAGTGGGTGCTGGGGGTCAAAGGCCACATCATTTAAACCTCCCTAGAACAAAAAACGCAGCATGATTTATTATTAATATTATTCTTATTTTATTATTATTATTGACAAAATATTAATGTGGAAATATGGCTACGGCCCTTAACCATATATGGACGGTGACGGGACACGGAATTAAAAATAGCTGTCATTCGGTGCGGGGGAAGCCGAAGGAACGAGGCTAGAACGCGAAGCGGAAGCCGCGATCAGCTGATGGAGGAGCCTCGGCTGAAGCCTGTGCCTGAGTACGGGAGAGCCATCTTCCTACCTTAAGGAAGAGCCGGCAGGGGACGGGCTGGAGAGATCGGGGGACCCCGGTGTTACGGGCGGCCCAGACGCATTGCGCAAGGGTGGGAGGGAGCGGCGGGGCCCCGGCGGACGACACCGGGACCGGGGGGAGGGCAGAAAAGGAGCCGGCCGGGGCAACGAAAGACGAGCTATAAAAACAAAACACACACAAAGGAAAAGAGGAATACGAGTGAGTGTACGGAGAAAGGATTGGGGCACACTGGGCACCTATAATTACAGCAACCATAATAAAATACATTTTGTTGTGGTTCTGGGTTAGTGGGATTCGGATTACCCCCGGGGACTTCCTGCCATAGTCTGTGGAGAGGAGGGAGAAAAACAACATACACAGAATATCAACATTATTCAGCAACATGCGGAGCCGGTTAGCTAGGTTTATCATCGTGATAGCTTCTGTTTGCTGGCGAAGCGAACGGTGCGCTTTAAAGCGGGATATGAATTAGTCTAGTTAGAGCTGTGTCTCGGGGGGGGGGGGAGGGGTGATAGTGGTGGTGGTTTTTAAACATTAGCCTGGCTAGCTAAGCTAGGAAGCTAAGCTAGGCTAACTGGCAGAGCGAGCGCTGGCCGCCAGCTGGGGTGGCTTCATTGTGCTCAACCGATTTTTTACATTAAATTTTCCAGATCTTTAGTTAAGTGTTTTTCCGCCAGCTTTGTAACCGTATCCGGTATAATTGGCGTTCGGTTTCCCTTAAACTCCCCGTGTCTGTCTGCCTTCTCCCATTTGACAGGTCCGCTTCACCAGGCGGCCGTCAGAGCAGCTCTTGCGGGGACAGCGATGGCGGAGGTGTACTGAAGAGAGGGGGCCCGAGGGGAATCCTCATCTGCAAGCGGAGCCTGGGGACAAGGGCAAGAAAACAAAAGCTAGGCTAAGGAGAGGACTGGGGAAGTAGGAGAGCCTGAAGCCGGATCGTCACTGATAACTGCCTGGGATCCGCTTGCGACCAAGGAAGGGATACTGTGTCTGCGATAACCCTATCGGCCTGCACTGAAGGCAACTGAGAAGGAAGATAAGCTTTTCTTTTTAACTTTTCCTCGTCTCATCTTTCTGATGCCCGCAATAAACGTCTGTCACTGTCCAAGTGGCATTGAAAAGTGCATGGACGGACACGTCGTGGTCATTTTTCTTTTTCTTTTAAACACAACGCCTCTGCCTGATACTACTCCCTGCTCGTCGTTCCGCACTATCTAACCGTGTGGGGATTGTTTTGTCTTTAGTTTTTTTAATGGTAGCTGTCATACGTATGTAGTAATTTTTAACACTTCACACCCACAAAAATTGACGGCACATTTGTAATAATACTTCGTGTGGGTTTGATTGTAGTTATATTGGTAAAACCTTAAGAAATCCCACAAAGTGGACAAAGAGCACAGTCTTTCTCCGTCGCGACCGGCGTGAGGGCTGCAGACACTCGGCTCCAGTAACTCGGCTGTGCTTCCCTCGCCCCTCCCCCAGCTTCAGCGGAGTGTCCCGGCAGCCCGGCGGGCTCCGAGGTTTCGTGATCGGGGCGGTGGAAGAGGGGTGGGGATCCGCCGCTGAGTGTTTAAAAGGGAGGAGAAGTCCACGGATGTGATGGAACTGATGTTCGCTGAGTGGGAGGACGGAGAGCGGTTCTCTTTCGAGGACTCGGACCGCTTCGAGGAAGACTCGCTGTGCTCTTTCATCTCCGAGGCAGAAAGCCTGTGCCAGAACTGGAGAGGATGGAGGAAACAGTCCGCCGGACCCAATTCACCCACCGTAAAAATAAAAGGTGAGGTCTGCTGTCACTGTTACTGTGTTTGTGGTTGTTCATTCTATTATTTTTTCGGAATCGGCCTTGATGTTGCAATTCGTCTTGAAAGTTGAAATATTTCTGCCTTGGTGTCTTGTTGATCTTTTTAAGGAAAGCACTTCACAGCTTTTCCCATTTATTCAATTTGCCATGATCTATTTTTGATATACAGCTTTGCTAAAGTTACACTGGAATAAAGTTCCTCCTGGGACTCGGAGCGCAGTGCCTTCACGTTACAAGTGTTTGTTTGCCGAGCTGTACACTGTTCTGAATCTCGACTCGGCCGGTATTCTCTCTGTCTCAGGCCCTGTCTTTTCAATTACTTAACCTCTCCCATCCGTAGGACTTTGGTAACAGTCGCTAGTGCTTCCAAGTAAAACGATTTTAGGCTGATCGCCGTTCTAAAATGATAGTGTTTAGGTTATTTGTGCTCAACGTTTACAGGCATAACCTAAATTGTTTCTAAGAAATCGTTTAGAGTGGGTACTTATAGCCACTGGTATAGGTGGCATAGATAGCATTTAGAAAATGCATGGTGGGTGGGTTCTTGGGTGTGTTCAATAAATTTTCCTGTTAGGGGTCATAGGAAATAACTGCCTTTGTTCTAATAAACGAGAGAAGTCCAGGGTTTTCTGTGTGTTACCAATAGCCTTTTCGAAGGCGGTGCACTGGTAAATTGTGGAAAATGATGGTCCAAATGACTCCCTGTATTGCCGATTGTTGATAGTCTACCCAAGTTTTGACTGTTTGCAGGTGGAGTTGTAGGTGACCTCCCCATCCCACTGCCTGCTGCTAATCGGGCCCTTGGTTTCAATCTATGTAACGGCCTGCCCCCACCCCCAACTCCCCCGCATGTATTTGGTGGAAACTGGGTAATACTCAATTCCCTGGAATAGTGGCTGTGACCTTCAATGGCTGGGGGGCTTGCTATATAAAAAATTAAGTTTAGCCTTGGGTGTATCTTCTTTCTTTGACCAATTTTAGTCTGCGATCAGCTTCCCTCAAGGAAGAGATAAACATAATATTTTGTTTCTGGGTGTTTGGTTTGTGTGTAATTAGTAGAAAGCTGTCAGTTTTTATTTCAGCTTGTTGCCGTATGGGGTCAAGTGGTGTGCATTAGGGCTACATGATTCTGGAAAAAAAATTAAATCATGATTTATTTTTTGCTTGGAATTGAGATCACGATTATCTAATGATTTTTTTTGTTCAAATTTAAACATTTATTGCACTCATTAAACTGCAAAAAGAAACGACAACCTAACTTGATTATGCCAAACTTATGAAAGATCCAGGACCAGCGTATCAACTTCTGACAACAGAAAGGAAACACTCAATTGGCCATTGAATTAGGATAACCAAGGGTGTTTTCCACTGCACCAGGTATCATACTTTTGGTACTTCAAGGTGTTGGTTTTCCACTGGTGTAAAAACTGGCACCAGCACCAAATGACATCAACGCGATGCGGGGTATTTTGTTTTGTACTGAATTCGAAAAATGGTTGTAGTATTTTATATGGCTTGGCAATGTGCAGTATTAATACCAACATTGCATGTTATGGACAAACAATTCTTACATTGCTAGTCAGCTAGATAAAAATAAGGCTTTTTCTTACTTTAATTTCTGGACAGACATTATAGCGCAGGGGGTTAAAGTTTCGCTAAAATACTTTTACTCTGTCATAGGAAAAAAAACTTGGCAAGCTTTGCCATTTTTATTATTATTCCTCTTATAGATTCTCATATGTTTAATTTAAAAAAAAAAAAAAATCTGTTTAAAGTTTTACCTCTGCTTTTGCATGAGCACTGCATGCATTCTCTGAGACAATCATAATCATTTTCATCTTTGCCATTTAAGTCACTCGAAGACGCATTTGTGAGAAATTTATGAACTCCTTTTTTGTTTTATAAATACCCCGATATTTTTTGTCAACAAAATCACATCACTATATTTATAAGAAAATCTCATTACTTGGACAGCACGCTATATGCGAGCTGTATTAGTATATTTAACCAAATTCTTTTTAATTTCTTGTCATGCCATCTGGATCTTTTTGTTGTTTATGTTTTATAACCAAATCACTTTTTTTTGCTTCATTTATCATTATTTCTGAGTTCACAACTGTTTACAAGGCAGTGTTTTTATTGCGTGTCAGTGGCAGGCTATTTCCACTGTCTAGTCGACAAAGAATACATTTAAAATGTTTTAGTGAAACCTAAACTCACTGCGCTATAATGTCCATACCGAATTGAAGGTGAGAAAAAGCCTGATCTTAATAGCTGACTGGCAAAGTAAGAACTGCATGTGAATAACGTGCGATGTTGGTATTAATATCGCACTTTGTCCAGCTCTATAATACACTACAGCCATTTTTAAAATTCAGTACAAAATACTCCACCTCGCATTGTAATGTCATTCAGTGCCATTACCAGATTTTATGCTAGTGGAAAACCAACACCTCGAAGTACCTTACTTATGTTACTTTATTGAAGTACCAAAAGTAAGGTACCTGGTTCGGTGAAAAAGTGCCCATGCACAATTATAGGATGCTTAAGTCTCTCTGGGGTAAAGTAGGAGTGCATGTTTTGATCCAGCTGATGTCATACAAGGCAGAAGAACCGTTGTAATTTAAAGTGATTTCATTTTTTTTATATAATTAATTGTGCAGCCCTAGTACGCATACACACTCACCTTTGTTAGCTGGGAGTGTGGGGGTGGGTGGCTGCTTGCCCACAGTTTGTCCTGGGTTGTGTTTTATGTGTTATTTGGGCCTTTTTAAGTTCAAGTCACTTTGATAAAGACACTGAAAAATTCAATTTATATGAGCTGAATTACTCAATGTCTCACCTTCTAAAGGGATTGGGTTTATTTATTTAACTGACAGTGTTTAATTAGAATGCGCTTGTTGGCGGTAAAGAGGTGCCACAGAGGCTGCTTAGCTGGAGTCTTCCAGCAGACATCAGGCTGAAATGTCTGGACTGTTGATAGCAATTTCCAATATCCCAGCATCCCTCTGGTCTACAGGCCTTTTATTAGCCTGGGGCTTCATTTAGCGATATTGCGTATGCACAAAAAGATGCCTTAAATGTACCTATGCAACTTCTTACTTAAAATCCTAGATTTTTCAAACAAAACTTTAAGGTGGAAAAAATACATATATTTACAGAAACTCAGGAAGGGGTGTATGCAACGTTTTGGACAAATTGGGAAAAGACGACATCTATAGTAAATCCTTGAACTGCAAGTAAACCTGTGAAATAACAATGCATGCCAGCTATTCATACAGTAAATCTAAAAATGTGAACTGTGATTTATTGAATTTCCATTTATTCATTCAAAACAAAGACTATGTATTACATTTTCTATTTCAAATACTACGTCTTGTCACCTCTTCCGGTGAACTGAAAACATCTGTAGTTATCACTAGTTACACTAAATGTGAATTATGCATCAGACATTAACATGCATGGATCCACTTGTATAAATAGCCTATAGCCATGAGAATGTGATACGGCATAATGGTGTTTTTGCTGGTGACCACAAATGTAAAGATAAGGAGAGATTTTCATGGACGACCATAATGATTTTTCTTATTTGTTTACATTTTGCACTGTGTGTAATGTCTCCTCCCTTTATCTCTTTTGGATGAAATGTATGTTTCTCTATGCTCTGGGTGAACAGGAAAATGTAAACTACATTTGCAGTGATGCCCAGTTTTCCTAATGTCATCAGAGCTAGGGCTAGGGCTGAACAATTTGGGGAAAATATGTAATCGCGATTTTTCTGACTGACATTGCGATTACGATTTGATTTGCGATATAATCTTTTATGTCAAGCTTCAATTTAATATTCAGTGTGTAGTAAATTTAAAATATATGATGCAGCATTACCACATGAGATACCATCAAAATATTAACTGGTCTATATTCTAATGCAAGGATGAGAATTTAAAGTAGAGGTGGGCGATAAATTAATTTTATCAATTAATTCAAATTTACAGTTCAGGACGATGTGTTTTTATGAAAATGTATTTTATTACTTATTTTACATACAAGCACCAAAAGCAGAACTAATGCGACGCACCATTCTTCACGGGTACATTAGCGCAGCGCACCCAAACACTGTAGCGGATTCACAAACAACATGGAAATGGTTCGGTTTTGTGCCGTCGGACACAGACCAAACAAGTCCTCGTTGCAAAGTCTGTTTAAAAACTGTTACAACCAAAGGAAGCAGCACAACAAATTTATTCCAGCACCTAAAGCAGAGGCACGCAGCGAAGTACAGCTCCCAGCGAAATGAAAATACCCACAGCACCAGCACAACATCCAAAGTTAAGCAAGCAACCATCCCTGACACGTTTTCGAACTGTGTGCCATATGATGGGAATGGGGAAGGCAATAATAAACGCTGTCGCGATGTATATTGCAAAAGATATGGTGCTAATACATACTGTGGAAAAGCCGGGATTCATTAACATGCTAAAAGTTTTTACAAGTTTCTAAAAGTGTTTACAATGGCGTGGTCTGCCATCTCACTTACAAGCATCTTTTTTGGCTTGTCAGATTGCACTTTAAAGTAAAAAAAAAAAAAATCAAATTAAAACTTTGTCATCTGTAGTTTTGATTTTGAGTAGGGGAGAGGAAAATCGATTAAAATCGAAAATCGGATTTATTGTGAAAAAAATTTGGTGGTCATGTTGGTCTACGTTTCCGCTTTTTAACAACTGTATAAGGTTTTTTATACAAATCAATTCAGAGGAAACAAAAAATATGTGTGTTCAGGGTTGCAAACTCTCACGGGTTTGGGTAACACGCTTTCAGACTCACGCAAGAAATCTTATGGCAAATCTAAATTATTCCATTATGAACTTAGAATTAGCTGCATCAAAAATGTTAGGGCAGTTTGCAAACCCTACAGACTATTTACATGGTAATAAAACTCTTACATACACGTAAATGTATAAAAGCCTCACTCCAGGCATCTGACCAAAGATTCGACTGAAGCGGCTTATCATTCCTTTGCCTTGTTGCTCTGACAAATATAAAACAAAGGAGAAAACATTGTATGCGTCACTTTTTATGTCTTTTTTAAATAATAAGACCATACCCATACCCAACTGTAATGATTTACAGCGATCTGTTCTATTAGTATTTGTGTTAAAGCGAGGCTTTCATTTTATTACTGTTGTGGTATTAAGATTAATTTCACAAGATTAATCTATGGAAATCAATACTTAAATCAATGAGCACAAAAACGTATGACATAAACACGACTGTATTATGGATTTTATGGCATTTCTGGGGGTCACAGACTGCTGCTGTGAGGATTACCGACCGTCTCATTGTTGTTTTGATGGGTTATATGCTAATGTGATTTCCCATTAACAAAAACAAAAGGTGTGATACGCTGAAGTATATCGCAGCTGTTGTTTAAAAGGAGATCCCCGGTTCTATTGATGATAGGACCTTTCTGAAACAATCTCGGACCATGGAATAGGAAGGCAATTCACTTATAGCTCAGTAGCAGAATCAGTATTTTTTCCGCACCGCGAATGCAATATTTTCTTTGGGTTTCACGTGTTTGCTGTTTGTGGGCATGTACTCAGTCGCCTTGGCCCACTTCTGATTGGTGAGCATGACTGTCACATAAGGAGCACGGCACTTGTGATTGGTGAGAATGACTGTCACATAGGGAGCACGGTATGGGTTTGGAAAACTATTCTTACAACAGTTTGAAACTCCGGGTCCGACGTGCTGTATAATGTATGTCCTAAATCGCAGCCTTTGCGATTTGCTAATCGCGTTGTTTCAAATCGCGATTTTGATTTGAAATCGATAAATCGTTCAGCCCTAGCTAGGGCTGCACAAAATCACATTATTGGCACATGCGCAATAATCACCAGGGCTTTAAATAAGGGATGAAACATTTGTCTGGACACTGGTTTTTTAGATACTACATGGATGTTCAGTTATGCCCACAATTTGGTAAGCAGTTTAGTAGCATGCCTAAAATATTAATGAAAGGTAGGACTGCAGATCTCGATTTCCTCAAGCTTATATGGCGCATGGCCAATATTGACTAGGGTTTTAGATGATAGGCGAAATATTTGTCCAGATGCTGGCTTTTTGGTACTGTACAGACGTTTAGTTAACCTACAGTTTAGTAAGCAGATCCGTAAGTTATTAATCTTTATAAATTTGGCATAGCCTTATATTTATTAAATTCAGTTAGCGGTGCATGCCACATACTATCGTTTTGGTATATCATGGAAGTGGCGGTTGAAGAAAGGGACAGCTCAGCATCCATAACATCTTTTGAAAGAGGAGATATCATAAATAAGGTTAAAAAAAAAAGATGCCAGTGTTTTGTGGTGGTACTTTTTGCCGTTTAAAGTCCGACACATTTATTTAACATATGGATGTACCAAATTTATACAGAGTATTAATATTTCAAACATCTTACTAATCTGCTTGTTAAATTGTGGGTTTTAGTAAATGTCCATATAATACCAAAATACTGGTGTCTGCACAAATGTTTCGCCCATCATTATAGATTGCTTTTCCACCACACCAACAAGTACCATACTTTTGGTCAAATTGAAATCACGATTTCAAACAATGCCATTAGCAAGTCGCGAAGGCTGCGATTTAGGATATGCATTGTACAGCACATCTGACCCAGGATTTGAAATTTTCCAGAGAATAGTTTTACAAATTCATTTTATTCTCCTTGTGTAACATTCATGCTCACCAATCAGAAGTGCTGTGCCCCTCGTGTGCCAGTTATGCTTACCAAACAGAAGTGGCTCAAGGTGACTGCGTACAGTATATGCCCACAAACAACAAACACATGAAACCCAAGGAAAATGTTACATTCGTGGTGCAAAAAAAAAATATTGATTCCACTGATAAGCTACAAGTGAATTACCTACCTATTGTAGTGTCAGAGATTGTTTACAAATTCTATTATTAGGGATCTAAGCAGCGTTAGCTGCAGGATCCCTATTGTTTTTTTTCTTACTGGAATTGGTTTATTTTTATTAGTATTACTTTATTTAACTTAACAGTCATAACTTTTGTGATAATTGTTTATGTTTGATTGTTCTCTGCTAAGTTAACCCTTGTATACTTGGGCATTGTCAGGGATCACTATTACTTTACTAAGGGTAAAAAGTTGTTGTGAATCGCAAAATCTCAATTAGGTATTTTTCTCAAATTATTCGGCTGTAGCCTACGCAAGTTTCTGTTTTCACTCATATGTATTTTTTCCAGGTGAAATTTACACAGAGTTTGATAAATTAGGCCCCCTTCTTGTTGTAACCTCGCTCTGCTTCTTATTTATATCATATATTAGGGAATTTTTGCTTTAAATGGATTTTCCCATAAACCAGCACTGTAGGAACTGTCATCTTGGAGGCCAACAGAACATGTCGAGGAATGAAGCTGATTTCTTTTCACTACCAAACCTGTGATTCGGGCAATTTTGCTTTAAAAGAATTTGTACTAAATAGATGGCAGTATGTTGACACAGCTGTGAGCTTGAAGGATTGGCAGAGGTGTCCTACGGTAGCTGTAGAAGGACAAACTGGTGGGCCACAGTTGAACTTAGCGGGTTTATTGTGGGAAGTGAGTCTCTTTTGATGTGTGGCCCCTTTTCACATATGAAGCCCGTTAATGTATCGGGTAAAAACAACATGGAATAAATTTTTTTTGTAATGGGTCTCTGTCACGTTCGGGATCAGGCGAGCAGGGAAGCAGGCGAATGGAGCCGGAACTTCGGGAAAACTGGGTTTTATTGCTCATAGGACAGACGGACAGAGACATCCATGGACAATACAATGACAAGTCTGGGAACCTAAGGGAGACGCGAACTCATATACACAGGACAAGGCAAAAGAAACAGGAAACAGCTGGGCACAATCGGGGAAGCACACGTGGATAATGAGGGGGCGTGGCACACACTAGGATCGTACGGAGCCGGGCGTGACAGGTCTCATGTAAAAGGGGAGAAGTCCCCACCCTTGCCCTTCTTGAAGACGTTAATCTGTTACAATTTCGCATTTACCGACACTCGACCCATGGCAGAAAGTTACCATTAATGTTTCTAGTTCGTGAGGGAACAGATTAATGGGTAGACTTTACTGTTTTGGTCCCATTCCCACGTGACTCCATAATGGCAAAATGGCATTATATAAGTGGGTTGTGTCTGTGAATGGGGTATAAGGAACAAAGAAAGGAGATGTGTTGTTGCCTCCAGCTAACTAAATTCTTGCTTTGTTTATCTACCGCATCTGTTTTTCTTTTCAAAAAGTGGACAGGGGGTGGGGGCAGAAATCGGGTTTCCTGGGCAAACTATCAAGGTTTTGTATTAGATGATTATAGGCCTGCCACTAACAAACTGTTTTTCTATCAATTAATCTATCAGCTATTTTACCAATTGGTCATTTAATTTTAAACGGTTATGACTTGACTGCCAACTATTTAGTAATCAGTTTATCTAAAACCCTGCAGTGACAAAGTAAATGTCTGTATTGTACTGAAAAGCTGGCGTCTGGTCAAATGTTTCGCCTGTCATCTGAAGCCCTGGTGATTATTGTGCATGCGCAATATAATACCGATATGATATATCAGCCCCGCCCTTACCTGTGTTTTCTCTCATGCATAGCACTAGTGCCACTGTGATATGTCAAAACTACCTTTTTGTTTTGTGATAATTTAAACTACTCCCATAAATATGTAGTGATATTGAAGGAAAACATTTGTTATAATGGATTGAACCATTTTATAAATCATAAAGGCAATTTAATTAAAATATTTTTTTTTAAAAAGATATTGATTTAAAATATGATGTTGACACATTTTCAGGCAACTAATTGCTGCAGTTCTAGTTTATGCCTGTCATTCGAAGCCTTGGTGATTTATACGTCTTATAACATATTGTGCTGCCCTAGGTTATACTGTGTTTAATTCCCCCCACCCCTGGCACAGTACCCTCCAGACTCAGCCCATTTTGCTTGCAGTATGGGTTCAGGACCCCTGTCCTAGGATGTATGTGGGGTGTAAATAACACTTGTCTTTTTACATTGCTGAAAGTTGTGCTGGATGATGGCATGTGGGCTTAGCAATTGGTGTGTCTCCCTGTTTGTATGCCACAGATGGCCAGGTCATACCCCTTGTGGAGCTGTCGGCCAAGCAGGTGGCTTTCCACATCCCCTTCGAGGTGGTAGAGAAGGTGTACCCCCCTGTCCCTGAGCAGCTGCAGCTGCGCATCGCCTACTGGAGCTTCCCAGAAAATGAGGAGGACATCAGGTGAACAACCAGAGTGCAAAACGGCCACATGTCACATGGCGCATCACATCCCCATGGGAAGCAGCTCCTGACTTTCTCTGTCTCTGCAGGCTGTATTCCTGTCTAGCCAATGGCAGTCCTGACGAGTTTCAGCGGGGGGAGCAGCTGTACAGAATGAGGGCTGTGAAGGACCCTCTCCAGATTGGTAAGGCACCCTCCCCATACCCTTGTGACATCCATGTTGCTCAAGTGTCCTGTCCAAATGCACACCTCACTTGTAACATGGAGTTCTCCTCATTCTTGGGAGTGCTCCTGTTTGTTTTGAGTTGGTGGGGACGTCTGCAGTCAGCAGACACCGGAGCGTCAACGTACCCTCTCGCCACCACCACCACCAGCTTCACCACATACAGTGGAGTATGTCTGTGTGAATTTTTGCTCATTAATCCAGAAGAGCATTTGTGAGGTCTGGTACTGATTTGAATGTGAAGGCTTGGCTTGTAATCTCCATTCTAGTTCTTCTCAAAGGTATTTGATGGGGTTGAGGTCGGGACCCTGCCTTATGCACTGGGGCACAGTCATGATAGAACAGAAAAGGGTCTTCCCCAAGCTGTTCCCACAATTTTGGAAGCATAGAATTTTCCAAAAAGTCTTAGTATGCTGAAGCATTGAAAGTTTCCTTCACTGGAACTAAAAGACATAGCCAAATCCCTGTAAAACAACCACATATGATTACCCGACCTCCACCAAACTTTACAGATGGCACAATGCATTCAGATAGGTAATGTCTTCCTGGTATCTGCCAAACACAGACTTGTCCATTAGGTTGCCAGACACAGAAGCGTGATTCATCACTCAACTGAACATGTTTCCACTGCACCAGGTTCTAGTGATGGCACGCTTTACACCACTCCGTCCAACACATGGCATTGTGGTTGGTGATGTGAAGCTTGCATGCAGCTGCTCAGCCATGGAAGCTCATTTCATGAAGCTCCAGGCACCCAGTCTTTGTGTTGCGGTTAATGCCAGAGAAAGTGTAGAAGTTGACAAAGTCCGATTGTGGATGTTTGTCTTGACCTGCAAATACATTAACTGTTAGGCTTTAAAAGTGATAGCTTAAGATAGTGATAGTTTAAAGCAGAAAATCCCATTGTGAAACGTATTTATTACCCTGCTTTTCAGGTTGACGCGGCATATTCTGACACGCACTCTCTGTATGTGCGCATGCATCGGGGCAGAGAGAGCTGAGGAGAATTGTGAACGCGCGACCATGTACAAACAAAAATGACAAGCTATTTAGTTTGTTTAATAAAAGGACAATGTATAGACCCATTCTATAGGAAAGGTAACCTTAAATGACTTCTGTTTTGATCTAGCGCTATATAGAAAATAAAATTTAATAAAATGAACTTGACCTTCAAGGGGGGGCAGGATGTGCTGTGAGGGGGGTGGGGCGCCCCATAATATAATAGTAGGGGAAACACAGCATTATTTGAACAGCATTGTACTGCAGAAAGTAGTATGTTGCTATAAAAATAGTGAGAAAAAGGCAATTAGCAATGGAAGAGAGACAGACCATCATAATACTCAAAAGTTTAGGACCGTCCTACAGAGAAATTGTGCAGAAAGTCAAGGAGTCTCCTTAACCATCAAATGGCACTCAGAAACTGGGGGAAACTGAGAGGAAGAGGTCTGGCAGACCCAAAGCCACAACAGCATCATAAGACAAGTTTCTGAGTCAACAGCTTGCATGACAGGCGGCTCACAGGACCACAGCTTAATAGTAGTCATAGTAAGCAAGTCTTACTTTCAACTTTAAAGAGAAGACTTTGAGTTGCACGTTTGACAGGTCGAGTTGCAGCAAGAAAGCCATTGCTAAGACATCAGAATAAGAAAAAGAGGCTTGCCTGGGCCATGAAACACCACCGATGGACTACTGACGACTGGAAGAAGGTGTTATGGACTGATGAATCAAAATTTGAGATCTTCGGTTCATCACACAGGATTTTTGTACGCTGACGAGTAAGTAAAAGGATGGTTCCTCAGGGCGTGGCATCAACTGTCAAACATGGAGGAGGAAGCATGTTGGTCTGGGGCTGTTTTACTGGATCTAGGTTTGGTGACTTGTACAGTGTGAGAGGCACCCTAAACCAAAATGGCTACCATAGCATTCTGCAGCACCATGCAGTACCCTCTGGTATGCGCCTAGTTGGTCAGGGGTTCATCCTACAGCAAGATAATGACCCGAAACATAAGTCCAAGCTATGCCAGAATTACCTTAGGAAAAAAGAACAAGATGGTAAGCTTGAAAACATGGAGCGGCCAGCACAGTCTACAGACTTGAACCCCATCGAGCTGGTTTGGGATGAACTGGACAGAAGAGTGAAAGCAAAGCAACCTACAAGTGCTACACATTTATGGGAACTTCTGCAACACAGTCGGGAAGAACTTTCTGACGAATATTTGATTTCCATTGTCGAAAGAATGCCACGGGCGTGTTCAGCTGTTATATCTGCCAAAGGTGGCTACTTTGAGTCAGAAGTTTAGAATACATTTTGGTCTATAAATTGATTCCATGATTTCTCTTTTAACTCCAATTGCTTATTTGTACTATGCTTTCATTTCAGAGTACAATGAGACATTGAACTGCTTGAATTTCAATAAAAACTGGGAAACTTGGGGTGTTTTACATCTTTTGACCGGTAGTGTATATTCATTATATCAAAATATTAAAGTAAAGAGTAATGTGTATCGGTATCGGCAGTTGTTTATTGGAATCGGATTGGAACTGAAAAAACGTGGATCGGCTTATCCCTAAATACTACTTACACTTGACTATGGAATATCTAGCAGAGAAGAGATTTCACAAACTGACTTATTGCAAAGGTGGAATCCTGTGACAATACCACACTTTGATTTTCCGAGCTGCTTAACCTTGATTAGTGCCAACTAGCCTGGAAAGAAGGCATTGGGTGTCCTAGACCATGCTGCTGAGGCATGGCCAGAGGGCTCTGGGGTGGTGAGTGTGTCTCTGTTTGCTAGCTATGCAATGACTTTTCATCACGGTCAGTCTGTTTAGTGCAGGCAACAGTTACAGAGTTGGTCGCCTTGAAGTCTCTATATGACTCTGTTTATTTAGAGAGACACTGAAGGGGGATGGGGGGTGGACTAAGTCACCCCCAATAACATGACCCCCCCTGGGCCTACCTGTCGTGCAGGTGCGTGGGTCTGAGTATTCTTGCTATTTCATTGGATGACACCCTGTTTGTCTTGGGGCTGATCTTTTGGTTGAATGTGGAAGCTTTGACCTTTTCTGCGGGTGGCTGTGGATGCGTTATTCTTAACAGTGCAGTTGGTTTGAGGTCACAGCCCGATTTGTGCAGAAGGGCTGCTGTGCCTCGTTAATGGTGTGACTCCCAACATGTTTGGGGCAAGCCATGGGAAGTAGGAGCATCATGGGAGCTGTGGACTGAAACCCAGTACAGTGCAGGTAGTGTGATGCCGTGCCCCATAACTTGAATACTGCTTTGGAGTTTACACAAGGTAGCCCCTTGCTGGTGTGGTCTAAAAGGTATCTGGCTGACCACCTGCTGGGTAGAGGGGGTGTTATGGTTAGGGGGAATAGAGCAGGTGGGAGAGGGTGCACAGAGTGTTCCTAGTGAGTGTGCTGGATATGGAGAGATGAAAAGGGAAACTGCACCCAGCATCAGGGCCATGCAGAGACTTTTGGAGGAATTTTTTGAGGGGCACAGACAGGGGAGGGGAGGTGGGGACAGACAGGGGAGGGGAGGTGGGGACAGACAGGGGAGGGGAGGTGGGGACTGTTAAAAGTTGATGTAGTTTGATCATGTTAAAGTTTATCTACTGTGGTGCTGCAGTGCAGGAGTTTATAGATGTCCCCCTATACCCTGTGCCTGTGCCTATTTACGGTTCACCATGAGGGTCTGGGCAACTGGCAAAGTAAAAGCCTTCACCTCACCCCTTCCCCATCGCTGGAATGATCCTCTCTGCATAAGAGTATAACTATAACTGTCTTCGATTTTCTGGCTTGTTCGAGCTCTGTCAGCGGGCACCCGGTGTGTTTGAAGGCCTCCTCTGTGCTGCCACAGTGATGGTGCCCCCAGTCACACCGCTTGTCTGTTCACTATGGACCAGCAACAGTAGTGACGCCAGCCTCTGCTTCCCCATGTCACCGTGATGTGGCTGAAGCCCTTATTTTTTATTGCCCTCTCTTCCAGCCGTGTTGTCTTGTCTGCTTCTTGTGTCTCTGAGTTTTATAATTTCACTGTTTCCCCACCATCTGTGCTGTCTCCCTGTGTGTTTAGCGTTGCCCCCCCCCCACCACCCCACATTGCTTAAATGCAGTGCCAGGTTCCCTGGCAGTGTCATGCTTGAACTTAAACACATTGTTTCACGGAGACTTAATTGGGGACAAGATAAAGAGAGGAAGCCAGTGGCCTTTGTAGTTTTGCTTATTTTTCAACCTTGCAACATTTACTTGTGTTTCATTGCTCTATGGCCTATGTGTGGAGTGCACTTTGTCTTCGCTCAGTACTCAAGTATAGTAGTTTAAATCTCTTTGATTCACTGATTCACTTTATTATTCTCATTGAAAGTTTATTTTTGCTGAAACATTTAATGTCTGTCATTAGCAGATCTCAGCCTATTGATATTTTGTTCTAATTTTGAGGTTTTTATGTGCAGAAGTGTGGTTTCTACATGAATCTGCACAGTATCTCTAAAGGTCTTCAAAGGTCATGTGTGGGAAGCTTTGTTTTTGTGTTGACAGAAAAATGCCAACCTTGCAGGTGCTTCCCCTGCAACTTTTTCGCTTCTGCTTTGTTTGAAAGGTCCAGCCTTGTCTTACCACCACTCCTGTGGGTCTCTGCTCTGCTATACCTGCCAATTTTCTTGATGGGTGGATTTCATTTGGTGCCCTTTTGGGTGGGGTGTTACTGTGTCTGGCTTGTGGCCTCTGATGTTTTCCTGCCTCCCTTCTGCCTCCAGGATTCCATCTTAGTGCCACAGTGGTGTCCCCGCAAGCTGGCCAGTCCAAGGGAGCCTACAACGTAGCCGTGATGTTTGACCGCTGCCGCATCACTTCCTGCAGTTGCACTTGTGGAGCCGGGGCCAAATGGTGTGCCCACGTGGTGGCGCTGTGCCTCTTCAGAATCCACAACGTGAGTTGGGGGTGTTGGTGATGTCATGTGAGGCTGGCTCAGTTAACTGCTGAGGTAAGGGGGCTTTCTGATGATGCCGGTCTGGCCCACTATAGGCCCTGTTCCCAAGGGGCACTGCTGATATGAATCCTTTCTCCACCTTGCCATCACCCAGCTGTGTGCAGTAAGGTCCAGCATAATCCCAGATAACCCACATAAGCAGGGCTATGTCAGGAAGGCCATCCGGTGTAAGACTTTTGCCAAATCAATAGGCGGACAACAGTATGGATTTCCATACCAGATCAGTTGAAGCCCGGGTTAACAACGACCGCCTCCAGTGCTGTTAATCAGCAGGGTTCTGGTGGAAATTGGGCTGCTGTTGGCCGAAGGAATAGAAGAAGAGGGGGGAGGTATGTCCGGAGGCAGGAGGAGAAGTGGAAGAGTAGGAAGGATGGAAGTAAGGGTAGGAACTTTGAATGGTGGCAGTATGACTGGTGAAGGGGGAGAGCTATGATCATGAGAAGGACGGTTGATATATTGTGTGTGCAAGAGAATAGATGGAAGGGGAAAAAGGTCATATATTGGAGGTGGTTTCAAATTGTTTTATCATGGTGTGGTTAAGAGGAGAAATGGGGTAGGGGTTATCCTGAAGAAAGAATATGTCAAGTGTTTTGGGGGTGAACATAGTGACCAGTTTGAAGCTGTAAATTGAAGACATGATGATAAATGTTGTTAGTGCATATGCCCTGCAAGTTGGGCGGGAGATGGATGAGAAGGAAAAATTCTGGAGTGAGTTTTTTGAAGTGGTGGAGAGTCTACCCAAGGGAGAGTGAGTGGTGACTCGAGCGGACTTCAGTTAGCTTGTTGGTGAAATGGCTGTGGTGAATACATATTATAAGAATAAGGAGGAGCACAGGGTGACATCTGAGTGTAGGAAGATGCACACAGGTGGATTATATCCTATGCAAGATGGTTAGTCAGAAGGACTGCAAAGTAGTGCCAGAGGAGAGCGTAGCAAGGGAGCATAGGATGGTGGTCTGCAGTATGACTTTGGCGATCAAGAAGAGTAGGAGAGTCAGGGCAGAGCAAAGGATCAAGTGGTGGAAGTTGAAGATGAAGGACTCCAAGGTGGAATTCAGGGAGAAGTTAAGACAGGCACTGGGTCGCAGTGAAGACATACCAGATAGCTGGGCAACTACTGCAGAAATTGTAAAGGAGACTAGAAAGGTGCTTTGTGTGACATAGGGCTGGGCAATATCATATCGATATTATATCGCACATACGCAATAATCACCAGGGCTTCAGATGACAGACTAAGCATTTGGCTGGAAGCCAGCTTTTCGGTGAAATATGGACATTAATTCACGCCCATAATTTGGTAAGAGGATTAGTAGTATGGCTAAAATATTAATGAGATACGTTTTGTGATACCCAAAAGTTAGTAATCTGTATAAACATTGTTTCTTAAATTCAATTAGCGGAGCACCCCACATAATACTGTTTTGGTATACTATGGTTTGGTATATCTCAGTGCAATATACACTGAAGTCGCGGTGAAGAAGAGCAGCCACGATATCTTTTAAAAGAGGAGATCTTGTGGATAAACAACGTAAAGAGATGTCACCGGTGTGGTGGTACTTTTTGCAGTTCAAAGTCTGATACATTTATGAAACATAAGAATATGCCGTATTTATACTAATAATGACTTTTGGACATCTTACAAAGCCTCATTAATATTTTAGCCATACTACTAAACTGCTTAAATTGTGGGTGTAAATAAATGTACGTATTTCACAGAAAAGCTGGCGCATGACCAAATGCTTCGTCTGTTATCTGAAGCCCTGGCGATTATTGCGCATGCGCGATATAATATGGATATGATATCACCCAGCCCTAGTGTGACATCTGGACAGAGGAAGGAGGACACAGACACTTAGTGGTGGAATGAGGTAGTACAGGAAAGTATAGAGAAGAGGTTGGTGAAGAAGTGAGATAGCCAGAGAGATGAAGAAAGTAGACAGGAATCCAAGGAGATGAGACATAAGGTGAAGAGAGAGGTGGCAAAGGCTAAAGATAAGGTGTGTGGTGAGTTGTGTGAGAAGTTGGACACTAAGGAGGGAGAAAAGGACCTGTACTGATTGGCTAGGCAGAGGAACTGAGCTGGGAAGTTATGGTGATAAAGGATAATGATGGAGGCATACTCACAAGTATGCAGTATGTTCAGCGAATGGAAGGAGTACTGAGTACTTTGGGGGGGTTGATGAATGAAGAGAATGAGAGAGAGAAGGTTAAATGAGCTGGAGATAGTGAATCAGGAAGTGCAAAGGGTTAGCAAGGAGGGAGTAAGGACAACTATGACAAGGATGAAGAATGGAAAGGCTCTTGGTCCAGATGACATACCTGTGGAAGCATGGAGGTGGCAGTAGAGTTTAACACAATCTTGGAAAGTGAGAGAATGCCTGAGGTGTACCAATTTTCAAGAATAAGGGTGATATGCAGAGCTGTAGTATTTACAGAGGGATAAAGTTGATAAGTCACAATATGAAGTTATGGTAAAGAGTAGTGGAAGCTAGGTTAAGAAGAGAAATGATGATTAATGAGCAGCAGTATGGATGGTTTCATGCCAGGAAAGAGCACTACAGATGCAGTGTTTCCTCTGAGGGTTTTGATGGAGAAGTACAGTGAGGGAAATAATTATTTGACTCCCTGTTGAATTACTAACTAGACCCATTTATTAAAAAATGAGAAGTCTGTAATTTCACTGGTAGGTTTATTTTAACAACAGAAGACAGATTTTCAACAGAACAAACAAGAAAAAAATCATTATGTAACAGGTACAAATCAGTTTGTCATTTATCTAGGGAAATAATTATTTGATCCCCTACAAGCCAGCAAGAAATTAGGTCAAGTATATGTGCACTAACACAACACAAGTAGTACTTAAGTATTAACAGATACCAAGCCAGCATTGTCATTTAATGGCATTACTTTGTTAAACAATATTCTTGGGTCACTAACCTGTCTACATCTTCAGCCTTATCACCATGGGAAATAACAACGAGCTGTCTAAGGACATCAGAGACAAGATTGTTGAGCTTCACAAATATGGAATGGGCTACATGACCATCAGCCAGCAGCTTGGTGAGAAAGTGACAACTGTTGTTGCAATTATTCACAAATGGAAGAAAGACAAAATAACTGTCAATTACCCTCGGCCAGGGGCCCCAGGGAAGATCTCATCACATGTGGCATCAATGATCTTAAGGATGGTGAGGGCTAACCCCAGAACTACACGGGAGGAGCTTGTTAATGATCTCAAAGCAGCAGGGACCACAGTCAACAAGAAAACCATCAGTAACACATCATGCTGTTACGAATTTAAATCCTGCATTGCTTGCAAAGTACCCCTGTTCAAGAGGGCCCATGTTCAGGCCTGTCTGAAGTATGCTAGTGAACACCTGAATAATTCCAATGAGCTTGAAAGAATGTGATGTGGTCAGGTGAGACCAAAATTGAGCTATTTCACATCAACTCTACTCACTGACTATAACCCCAAGAACACCATCCCTACCGTCAAATACTGAGGTGGAAACATTATGCTTTGGAGGTGTTTTTCTGCCAAGGGTACAGGACAGCTGGACCACATCGAAGGAAAGATGGGCGGAGCAATGTACCGTAAAATCTTGGATGAGAACCTCCTTCCTTTAGCCACCCGTTCAGCGGGTGGGTCTTCCAGTAAGACAACGACCCTAGGCATACAGCTAAGGAAACAACAGAGTGATTCACACTAAGGTCATGTAGTGCCCTAGCCAGTCTCCGGACTATAATCCCATAGAAAACCTATGGAGGGAACTCAAGCTTCGTCTATCCAAGTGACAGCCTAAAAACCTTAAAGATTTGAAGGAGGTCTTCAAAGAGGAGTGGATGAAAATTCCTGATGATCTGCATGCAAACCTGGTGACCAACTACAAGAAACGTCAAACAGCTGTGCTTCCAAACAATGGTTATTACACCAAATACTAAAGCACGTGTTCCAAGGGATTAAATACTTATTTCTTGAGATGAATGACAAATTGGTTTGTAACTGTTACATGATGATATTTTCTTGCTTGTTTTGTTGATAATCTATCTTTTGCTGTTAAAACAAACCTACCAGTGAAATAATAGACTTCTCATTTATTTATTAATGGGTCAACTGAAGAATTCAGCAGGGGGTCAAATAATTATTTCCCTCACTGTATATAGAAGGGCAGAAGGGGTTCATTTGTGTCTTTGTGGACTTGGAGAAAGCATATGACAGGGTACCTTGAGAGGAGTTGAGGTATTGCATGGGGAAGTCGGGAGTGGCAGAAAAGTATGTAAGAGTGGTACAGGATATGTATGAGGGCAGTGGCACTAGTGAGGTCTGTGGTAGGAGAGACAGATACCTTCAAGGTGGAGGTGTTATTACATAAAGGGTCAGCTCTGACCCATTTCTTGTTGGCTGTGGTGATTGGCTGGTTGACAGGCGAGATCAGACAGGAGTACCCATGTACTATGATGTTTGCAGATGGCATTGTGATCTGTAATGAGAGTAGAAAGCAGGTGGAGGAGACCTTGGAGAGGTGGAGATTTACTCTAGAGAGGAGAGGAATGAAGGTCAGTGGTACTAAGACAGAATTCATGTGTGTGAATGAGAGGGAGGACAGGAAGGGTGAAGATGCTGGGATTAGAGGTGGAGAAGGTGTAGGAGTAATACTTGGGATCAACAGTTCAGAGTAATGCGGAGTGTGGAATAGAGGTGAAGAAGAGTGTAGGTGGGGAGGAGTGGGTGGAGAAGATTGGCAGGAGTTACTTGTGACAGACTGGTATCAGCAAGAGTTAAAGAGAAGGTGTACAAGATGGTAGTGAGATCAGCTTTGTTGCATCTGTTGGAGACTGTGGCACTGACGAAAAGACAGGAGGCAGAGTTAAAGATGTTAAGATTTGCATTGGGAGTGACCAGGATGAACAGGATTAAGAATGAGTATATTAGAGAAAGACCACAGGTTGGATGTTTTTGAGACAAAACCAGAGAGGTGAGATTGCTTTGGTCTGGACATGTACAGAGGAGAGATGCTCGGTATGTTGGGAGAAGGATGCTGAGGATAGAGCAAAAGGAAAAGAGGAAGGCCTAATAGGAGGTTTATGGATGTGGTGAGAGAGGACATGCAGGTGGTTGGTGTGTAAGAGGAAGATGCAGAGTACAGGCAGAAATGGAAACAGATGATCTGCTGTGGCAGCCCCTAACGGAGCAGCTGAAAGAAGAAGAAAAGTCCAGTTGGCCCAGTCCTGCCAATGCTGGATAGTGGGCTGCAGAGCATTGTTGTTTAGCCTCTTGAGCAGGCTCTGTCTCAGTCAGTCAGTCAGCTCTTTGTTTTAAAGACCCCCAGATGTCCTTCTGCTGCCTAACACACGTCCCTGTGGGCCTACATGAGCCTTGTTAGATACAGCAGGGATCCCACTGGATTAGCAGCAGTAATTCGACACTCTTGGCCCCTAGACAGAGGCCCTGCCCCCATCTCCATCTGCGGTTTTGTGTCTATAGTACGTCATCATGGGGCTTCAGGTGCCAGCGATCATGCTGCAGGTCTGCATGCCGCATTTTACTTGTGAAACTGGCATGATTGCAGATGGCAAAATACTCATGCCCTTTAGCCAGCCTGCTTGTGTGAACAGTGTCATTTGATTTTACGGTGCATGTCCTTGTTGATTTTCGCAGCTGTGCACCCCTGCAGAAATCCCCCCCTTATGGGCAGTAGCCTGTGTCTTTACTCAGGGGCTGTGACTCAGGTGGTGGGGGTGCTAGGGAGCCTGCCTAAAATGCCTAATAATTGGACTGGTTAAGGAATGGGTCCAGTAAAATATCTGGCTGTGCGCAGTGGAATTATTTTATTATTATTATCTGTGCTATCAGCATGGTTTGTTTTATCAAAAGCCACAAGTGTTGACAGGAAATAGCTGCAGAGAGATACCTGTCCAGAGGCACAATGACCAGTCATCCTTGTCCTCAGAGTTGCCAGCTCACTTGGCCTCCTAGTCGTTGAACTAAGTCTCTAGTGTCATATATCCCTGATATGAGTGTGTATAGGGATGGGGTATCTTGCTGTGGTGACACAGCTTCTGTCTTGTTGGGGGAGGGCAGGGTCACACTGTCTGACTGTTGGTCCCCCCCCCACCCCACTCTCCCAGGCATCAGCAGTGTGTCTGCGAGCCCCCGTCTCTGAGTCTCTGTCTAGGCTGCAGAGAGACCAGCTGCAGAAGTTTGCCCAGTACCTCATCAGCGAGCTTCCCCAGCAGGTAAGAATGCCGCAGCGATACACGAACACGCATTTCTGCCTTCGGGTGCCTGCCTGTGAGCAGGCAGAGCACTCAAACATGATTTCAGGGCTTGCTGAGATGCTTATCCAGACCCTGGCTGTGCCCTTGGCGACTGGCCTCACTTTGTGTTGGCGCTTTGTCCCCATGGCACACTGGTGTCTTTGTGCCACTGTTGTGCTGCACGGTCACTTGTGAGGCCCTGTTCGTGTAGAGTTACTTGCCGTGCAAAGGTCACAGTGTCCAGTGGCACAATGCACTCCATGAAGGGGGCCTGACTTGCGCTGGGGGCTGGCATGTGTCCCTCCTCCCTCGTGTGTGTGTATCCCTCTGTTTGAGACCTGGAGCTCTCCCGTTGGAGGTTGGAGGCATTGAGAGATGGAGCTCTGATGTCGGTCCATTTCAGATATTGCCCACTGCACAGCGCCTCCTGGATGAGCTTCTGTCTTCCCAGTCCACTGCCATCAACACAGTGTGTGGAGCACCAGGTGAGTCTGCTGACTGGGATTGCAGCCACACTCATATGTGCCCTGCTCCCTTTAAAAATGCAGTAGTGTGATGTGTCTCCAGAGACCCACCCACACCAGTGGCATGCTGGCACTGTCTGTCCTGGTATTTGATTGGTGAGTCCCTGGTGTGCCCAGATCCCACTGCGGGCCCGTCGGCCTCAGACCAGAGCACCTGGTACCTGGACGAGTCCACACTCAGTGACAACATCAAGAAGACATTGCACAAGTTCTGCGGCCCGTCACCTGTGGTGTTCAGGTGGGCTTCATGACTTTTTGTGGGCCTCACCCCGGTACTGGCCCTCATAGACGTTTGGCCGCACCTGATCACTGTTTTTCCATGCCCAGTGATGTGAACTCCATGTACCTGTCCTCCACGGAGCCGCCTGCTGCCGCCGAGTGGGCCTGCCTCCTGAGGCCCCTGCGGGGACGTGAGCCCGAGGGCATCTGGAACCTTCTGTCCATAGTCAGGGAGATGTTCAAGAGGAGGGACAGCAATGCAGCCCCACTGCTGGAGATCCTGACAGAGCAGTGCCTGACGTACGAGCAGGTAGCACATTCGCTGGGCCCACTGCCTGGTCCCCCAGACCTCAGCAGAGCTCCAGCTGCATAGTGTCCGCCTGAAGTTCTAAATGCTTATCTCGATGCTGCATTAAGCCGTGATGGTTGATTCCACAAAATGGGTGCCATTTGCCTGTTATAAATCTTCAACATTAAGTTTCATTTTTTCATCCTTTTCAACACTGAATCTAATAGCACACATATTTAACTATTCAAAATGTGCACTGGTCAATCTCAGGTAACTTTGTTTAATTTTTTCAAGGTGGAAATGGTTGCAAATTTCTCAATCCTGTTACCAAAGCCTCAAACAACTGTTTAAATGTCATTTGAAAAACATATCAACTACTACTTTTTGTGTTCCCCTGGATAAAGTGTGTATTTTAAAGAAATAATTGGCTACAAGTTCAAAAAATATATTTGTGGTAAAAATAAAAAAATCACTATTTGCATGCAAGTTGTACAGAACAGAAAGTAGCAGGACTGAGTTTTATCATAACATTAGCAAATTCAACATTGAACATTAGCTACATCATTAAACCTGGTAGTATGATAAACATTGAGTACATTCAAGTAACTTGCCAAAGATGTTTTTTAAAAGAAATAAATGAATTAATTAAATCTAACAAATAATTTGGGTAACAGGACTGAACATTGAGTTTGACCGCATCAGACATATGTATGATATCGTCAAAAACACAGGAAAGAAAGTAAAAGAATTTACTTTTGGTTTTCCAATGTGTTCTTCAGGCGATTGAGATGATACAAGTTCCAGTTGAACGTGCCACTTGTGGAATATGCCAGATTTTTTAGGGACCAAAATGTATTAGGGATATGACTAAAATGTGTATTTTAACTAGTATATTATAGATTTACTATAAGGAAAATGTATTTAAAGCATAAATGGAAAATATGGGCTGGTTACCAAACTTTGGTATTTTTATGGTACTGACCAAAATGCCCCAATCCTATCAAGAATCAAAAAATTAATTTTCTTTTGGTGCCAAATTCCAGTACAGAAACTGTAAATCTCAACGTCTGTGAGCTAATAAGCATGCAGCATACGAGTATAAAGGTCTAAAGTCGCTGGTGATTGGCTGTCTTGCATTTCATTTCATGAGCGCGTCATATAGGTTGGAGAAAAAACATATGCCCAGAGACAAACTTGCAAACTGGTTTGTGTGTGTGTTGTCATTTTTCTTAGTGCCTAAAAAATCAAAAGTGATTTTGATTTTGATCAGGGCTCTCAAGTCTCACGCATTAACTGTGAGGCACACGCATTTCAACCAGTTCACACACTCACAGAAGCAAGGAATAATGCCCACCAAGGTGTCCTAGTATATATAATTAATGGGCGAGGTGCAGTCATACGGAGTGGACTTTTCCGCCAAGTTCATAGCTGTATCGAGTTAGACAGCGTTATTAGCCACCTACCAGCCAATCAGAAAATAACATCTGTTGCATGTGATTCTGCTTCAAGCATGTTATTACATGGAGGCACACACATACGGAGAGCAGTCAGGGTGGAAAGTGGCAGAGCAAGAATTGATAAATGCAGTAGGCAGAATCATGAAACACATGCTGCATCCCTAACAGATGTAATCGTACTTCAGACTTTTGATGAAACTTGAGAGCCCTTGTAAAATACAAATAAAAGGCTGTGTTCTGTTATTATCGTGGTCGATCCCCATAACTACCCGATAACTAAAAAAACGTGTTCAAATAAAAGATTAGTGCTGTAACATTTTAAAGAATTTTTGTTGAAATTGATTTAAAAACATATTGGTATTGAAAAACATATTGTTCTGGAACTGGCATCGAAATCAAGGTATCATTCTGTTACTGGTAGCGAAAAAATTTGAAAGATGCACAGTCCTACACACAATGGTGCAAAAAAAGATGATTTCTGAAGATATTCATTTTCATGATGTGCAGGATTGGTGAGCAGAGACTGGTGACATACTCTGTTTCAGTGTTCTAGGGAGTTTATACATATAATGTCCTGGGGACAGAAATGGCACCAATTCGGTGCAGTGGCCCATACATCAGTTGGCTGAATTAAATCATTTGCATTTGTACATTGTACAGGATGTTTGTCTTCAGTAGAAATCTGTAATAGTCAAATGATTCAGACTAGACATCAGCTCCAGAGAGTATGATGGATTAGGTATGCAATTTGTACATTGAACAAGTATCATATTGTACTGGAGCTGAGAAAGGAAATATGATAATTTTTTATTGTGATAATGGAAATATTATAAGAATAAATGCATAGCCTAATGTTTAGTATATTACAGCTGCATCTGCAGCGTAATATACTAAATATACAGCTGCACCTGTTTTTTTTTTATCCATTCTGAAATGACAGAAAAGCAGGAATATGTCAATCAGCATGTCATGTTTTACTAAGGCTTGATGTAGACTGAAATAGTTTTATGTCCTGATTTAGAGAATATTTACATTAGTGTTTATCATCTAAGAAGAAGGTTAGGGAGGCTTCAGCTTTATAGGCAACGGTAAAGTTTTACTTGCGATTACCTCCTGGATGCTGCTCTTACAATGCCGTGATGCCCTCTATCCTACAATTAGACTAATAAAATGTGTAGCCTATGCTGCCAAATGATTCTGTTCCATTTAACAAAAAAGTTAGTTATCTCTCTTTTGAAAAAATAGTAAATTATGTACACACACACAAACATTATTATTATTATTATTATTATTATTATTATTAATAATAATATTAATAATAATAATAATGCAATATTTTCTTCAAAGACAGTGAATGGTACTGTGGGGATAAATGTTTTAAATCATTTTTCATAATTTTCATTATTAAACAATATATCCTGGTGAATTCTCATTACTGAAATGCATCCTGATCCATTATTCTATTGCTCTTTTTAATTCCCCTGTATAAGTAAAAGGAAGTTATGCAAGGTCATGTAAAAATGTGTGTATTTATGCTGGATAGGGATATTTTTGGAATTAACAAAAAATTATTGATCACACTAAATTTTCCTCATCACAATGCAACTTCATCTGCCCGTTTAAGAACTACACTGTTCCTTAAAATTAACAAGCAGTCCCATGATGCATCACTTGGGGCAGAAGATTCATAATGGACGCAAGGTCAGTTGCCCTCTCTTCTCTCTGTTTCTGAAATTTTTGTAAAGGACATTGAATCTTCCTCCTGTTAGATTCTCAGTTATCATTACCAATATGGGGTGATAATCTTAAGAAAAATTTACATAATTTTTTTGTGATGGAAAACACAATATTAGACTTCAACATGTAGCAGGGGTAGAGGTCGTGTAGCATTTTAGCATTTCAAGTTATTTGCCAACTTGGCTAAGAGCATCTCGAAACAGTTACTCATGATTTTCATCACCATGTTTGTTATAAGTAATGAGAAGCTATATTGTGGTAATGAGATGTTGTAATGTCCTTTTAATTAATATTTTATTTACTTCTAGCAATTAATATTATATTACCTTCTAAAAATTAACAGTTTATCAACTATGTAATTATTTGATATTAACTATGTGAATAGCGAGATGGTTAATGGCAGTAAGAGAATTGTCTGGCAGTTAATCAGAGGACTTATTCTAGGGCTTTTTTAATGAACATATTAAATGTTTTTTATGATAAATGTTTGATAGATTTTTTTTCCAATTTATCCCCCTCTGCCCAAAGCTCACTGCCAAGGATGCAGGCTGCATCAGGGTCAGAGAAGTCTCCTGCTTCTGCAAAAACTGGTGTGACTGCTTCACTCCACTTCACGCATTACAGTGGCGCAGAAAAGGAAGGAGGAGAAGCACAGAAGAGCAATTGAAGTTTGGGCATGGGTGGAGACATTTATCCAGGCACTGTTACACAGTAGTGATGGCCAAATGAAGCTTCATGAAGCATTTGTTGGATTTTTTGCCCTCACCAGATGGTGCTCTTGGTTTGCTCTGGCCCATGCTTTGAGCCCTTTTTTGAACCAAAATCACCATCTTGCCGGGTCAGAAAATACAGCAAAAGGGTCATGAAGCTTCATTTGGCCATCACTATTACTAATGTGAATTAGTTATGTTCTATTTATCCTAATGGCCTATTCCATTAAGTGAAATGAAATCTTTCACATTACCACAACATAAAATCGCATCCTCTGCAATGGACTTTTCATTACCGTTATGCATGAAAATAAAGATATTTTAATATTTTAATTTTTCAGAGAAATCAGCTTATTATATTCTTAACTGTGCTCCATGTATGTTCCGCAAACTACTTGTAATAAAAAAATCATTTGAAAAATTGGGCTCTAAAATAACCTTTGTATATCAGTAATGAAATTTGAAATGTGATTAAAAATACATGGAAAAACTACCTTTGATGCATTGTACTATTCGTTTAATACGGTCATTTGGGTAAATGTGAAAAATTCAGCAAAAAAGATTTTTTATTTTTTTTTGGTCTGTTTTCTTTTTTGACCTTATTGGTAATGAGCTTTATTCTGGATCGTGAAACTTTGAAATGGGAATAAAATTTATTTTTTTCTGTGTAACTTTTCTGAAATAATAACTACATTACATTATGTATAAATACATTGTTTTAGTCACTGGAGTCAAAAAAAAAAAAATCTGTCATATTATGTTGGTTATATTCTGATGTCACTTTAATACAGTTTGTGAGAATCATGCATATCATCCATGTTCTTTCTTAGGTTCCATTTAATTTAATCAGTTTTACTTGCCTGTTTGAGCAGATAAGCAGATGAATGGCATTGTGAGGGGCGTAGGGCTTCTACACTGTGGATGTGGCTAACAATCGCATCCATCCCACAGATCATTGGCTGGTGGTACAGCGTGCGCACCTCAGCCTCGCACAGCAGCGCCAGTGGGCACACGGGACGCAGCAATGGCCAGTCTGAGGTGGCAGCACACGCTTGTGCCAGCATGTGTGACGAGATGGTAGTCCTTTGGAGACTGGCTGTGCTGGACCCAACCATGAGCCCGCAGAGGTAGGCCTCCCTCATGCATCTCCTTTAGACCAGGAAAACTGTATTTCAGCCATAATATGACAACTTTATTATGCTGCATTTATTGCTTACTGAATGTATTTGAAGGTATGCTTGATGGAATCTTTTTTCTGGTAAAGTACAATATGCAAACTGAAATATAAATAGCAATGTTCAGGAGCACTGCACATTTGCTCTTGGATGTCTGAAAACAGCAGCCATGTGCCCCACTGACAGCTTCACGAATTTCAGGCATTTGGTTAGTAGGTATGAGTCTTGTCTTATATCACGGGGTGTGGAGAGGCATGGACAGAGAATGGGCTTAAAGCCTCTGTGAGGTAGTTTTTATTTCCATGGGTGCCTGCAGCAAGCCTAGAGGTCGGAAAACAAGATGAATGGAAAAGCCCCACGAGGGCACAGCGAAGTGGGCAGGAAGGCAGGCGTCAGGCGGCAATGTCCTCTATCTGGGAGACACTGTCAGCTGCAGGAGTGATAAGGGAGCCATGAGTGCGGGAGAGTTAGGCACATAAGCACAATAAAACATATTTACAAGTAAATCATATTATTTCACATGGGCAGGTATTAACTGCCACTTACAAGATATAAGTCCTTCATGCACAAATTCAGCCTTCGCACACAAATTTAACGTTTGAGAGTAGTACAGTTAGCTGTGAGTGAGAAGCATTACTTGCTCAAATCAACCTGACTTTTGACAAATTGGGAGTGGGAGACCCTGACCCTCTTATGATTGGTCACTTTCAATGTGATTACACCCACACGAACCTCCATGTCCCTTGATTGACAGCTTCCCTTAACTGAACACCTAGCTTAGAGTTTGGCCAAAGGTCATCCAGATCTACGCTCCTTTTCCAATGGTGGTGGTAGTGCACAAAATATTGTTTTTCATATTCATCTAACATCCCAGTAATTTACTTATTGTGAAATTTGGTTGGAACTAGAGTTGAAATGGTATGAAAATTTAATATTATGATCATAGTGACAAAAATAAACACTGTTATCAGTATTATCGCGGTATTGTTGAAATGTGCTGAAAATATTTATAAGTACGGACACACAACTGACATAATTTCACCAAGTTTAATATGGAAAACCACAAATAAAATTGGCAGTAGTAGGTTGATTAGCATGAGCAGAACTGACGCGAGCAACATTTCTCCCTCGCAGCTGGCTGTACTACTGTCGAATGTTGAATTTGTGTTTGAAGGTTGAATTTGTGCACAAAGGACTTGCACCTTGCATGTGCCAGTTAATACCTGTGCGTGTTAAATAATACAATTTCCTTGAGTGTTTTATCTTGCGACTTTTGACATAAATGTTATGGCATAGTCTGGAGGAAACCGAGAAAGTGAAACCACCCAGACCAACACAACCCAGTGATGCCCGTGGTGGAAGCAATGCCGCATGGGACCACAAGGCACGAGTTGCAGGGCAGGCGTTCAGGATCGAGTGTGAAGTCGAGTTTAAATTCAGTCTGTGGTCATCACAGCCAGAGCCTCAGGCGGTGACGTTCTGTCCGATCTCTCACTCAGTGCCCCAGAGCACATCCTTTAAATGTGAGCTGCACTCCTAGATGGCTGTAGCAACTGTGGACATTATTGCCATGCATCTCGGCATGATTTCCAGAGCCGCACCAATCGTGGTGTGTGGCAATTTCCTCGCTGGCTGAAGTGGTTTGCCTCTGGGCTTTCCATGTTTGTTGTCGTGACACTTATAAATGCTTTGCACTGGAACAAAATATGTCTCTGTTCATGTAAAACTGACTTTTCTAAAGGTAATTATGACCTGCATGAGGTGCGTGGAAGCTTGGTACTGTTTATATATGTCTCTGCTAATGAGAACCCCCCCCCCCCAAACCAAGGCGTTTAGAGCTTTCCACCCAGCTGAAGCGGTGGCACCTGAAGGTGATCGAGATTGTGAAGCGTGGCCAGCACCGCAAGTCCTTGGACAAGCTGTTCCAGGGCTTCAAGCCAGCAGTGGAGTCTTGTTACTTCAACTGGGAGGCAGCCTACCCCCTACCTGGCATCACCTACTGCAGCACCGACAAGAAGAGTGCCTCCTTTTGCTGGGTTCGGGCAGTGCAGCAGCAGCGGGGGTTGTGGGTAGGGCCGGGTGAGCCAGCAGGAGGTGAGTCAGCCAGTGGGGTGGCAGTGGGGGGTGGCCGGGCAGGTTACTCAGAGGGGACCGGGTCAGAGCACAAGGGACGTGGTATGCTCCCGCCCCAACAGGAAGTAGCTGTCAGGCCTAAGGAGACTCTACTTAGCAAGCGGAAAGGGCTGACTGCTGGGGGGGGTGGTGGCATGTTGGTCCGCCTGGGTGGGGGTGTTTCACTGGCACTGGATGACAGCAGCAAAGCGGCACACAAAGCCAGTGGGTGTGGGACCTCATCAGGTGGAAAAGGCAAGCTGCCTGTGGGTGGCAAGGTAGGGGTTGGGTCTGCGGGGGCCACGGGAGCCAAGCATGGCAGTGGTGGCAAGCGGCGCACCAGCAGCGAGGACAGCTCCCTGGAGCCAGACATAGCCGAGTTAAGCCTGGACGACGGCTCCAGCCTGGCCCTGGGTGCCGAGGCCAGCAACACCTTTGACTTCCTGCCACCGCCTCCCGAGATGCTGCCTCCTCCTGGGCCACTTCTGCGGGAGCTGCGCAAATATGGTGGCTCCAAGGAGGCCTCCTTTGACAGCAAGCGGGCCTCGCACACCGCTCCCCCAACTGAGGTCCCACCCTGCTACCCCAGAGAGGTAGGTGATGAGGCCAAAGGGGTGGAACTGGAGGCAGAGGCAGAGGCAGAGGAGGAAGACAAGGGTGAAGACTTCATGGAGAGTGGCCGGCCCACTGCATCCGTCAAGTCCCCCGACATCCAGGAGGTGGCAGAGGGGGGTGAGCCCCAGGCAGCCGCACCCGCCCCCGCCCCCCAGGCCCCTGATGCGGAAGTGCCGGCAGAGGCCGAGCCAGGTGGGGAGGATGACTACCAGGCCTATTACATGAGTGCCGCATCGGAAGAGGGCTGCGAGCGGGGGGCGTTGGACAATGGCCACGAGGAGGAACCTGACATCTTTGCTGGAATCAAGCCGCTGGAACAAGAGGGACGCATGGAGGTAAGCAAGAGCAGAAGCGGACTGGAGATGCTGGTGGTCAGGAGCACCTGAATGTCATGCCATACAGGAACGTGGTGATGCATGCAGGCTACACACCTGTGCTGTCACCCAACACGGCACATGTGAATAGGGTCACGCCCCTGCGTTCTGCAGGCTCGACGTTAAAGTTGTCGTGTCGTTACAAGATAGGGTGCTACCATGCTGGCTTATTAATTTTATTATCATTGTTATTATTATTATTACAAACAAATTTATTTTAGTATAGCGCATTATCACAACATTACATCGTCTCAAAGCCCTTTACAGCATCCCCACCCAAAGCCCCCAGTGAGTGAGCCAGATCCAATTATTGTTGGCCAATTATTGTTAGAAGAAGAACAACAACTACAACAAATAGTAAATAATGTCAAACTGCTGCATTTGACCATTTGGTTGTGTAAAGGTATCATCCTGTAATCTGACAGTAATACTGAAGCCCGCTGTGCGGTTGCTGCAGTCTGCACTGTGTAGTCAGGCTTTAACCTTCCCACCTGTGTGCCAGGTGCTGTTTGCTTGCGCTGAGGCCCTCCATGCCCATGGCTACAGTAATGAAGCTTGCCGTCTGGCCGTGGATCTGGCCAATGACCTGCTGGCCAACCCACCCGACCTGAAGGTGGAGCAACCACAGACCAAGGTACCTGCTTGCATTGCCATGGCCTGCTTTGGGGGATTGGGCCTGGTCCCAGGAGCCATGTTGGGGTGTGGGGTCAAAGCTTGAGGGCCAGTTTGGGGGGCTAGTTCAGTTTCTCCTGTATTTCAACATTTTAATGTCTTTCTTACGCCCGCCTGCCTAGGGTAAGAAGAGCAAGGTGTCCACGAGCCGCCAGACACAGGTGGCCACCAACACTCTGTCCAAGGTGGCCTTCCTGCTGACGGTGCTGAGTGAGCGGCTGGAGCACCACAACCTGGCCTTCAACACTGGCATGTTCTCCTTGGAGCTGCAGAGGCCCCCAGCCTCCACCAAGGCCCTGGAGGTGGGCTCTCTTTGGCATTGCTCCAGTGGGGGGAGCAGAGCTGCAGCCTTCAAAGTCTCATCCTCAGCTTCAGTAGGGTGCTGCTTTCAGTCCTAGGAAGGGAATAACTGTTGTACATTTGAGTGAGGTCACTTGCCCCGTTCAGTGAATAATGCAGAAGTGGTGAAATGCAGACAGGTGCCACACAGAAAAACATTTCCCTTTAGACTGTTTGCTAATAGGAATGTGGTGAGTGCTTCTGGGGAGCATTATAGAGAAAAAGCAGCGCTAGATATCTGTGGGGAAGATTACTCACCCATGGAGATCATTGGTAAGCTGTCAACTAACTTCTCTGCCATATGGATCAGTGTTAGCGCTATAGGTGACTTCCTCTTTGAAATGCAAAACCAGGCTGCTAGAGTAACTGCCCCCTGCCTTGTCTGCAGTGGCCTCTCCTTTCTTGAGTCTTGCTGAGGCCTGTAGCTACCACCTCCTTTACAAATGAAGCCGGTTACGTTGAGCTGCGTGCTCCAAACCACATGAGGAGGGGCAAGATCCACATGGCAGAGAAGTTGGTTGACAGCTGAAGACATGCCTGCCTGAATGCTCTGTCCCTCCATCCCCAGGTGAAGCTGGCATACCAGGAGTCAGAAGTGGTGGCTCTGCTGAAGAAGATCCCTCTTGGTGTGGTGGAAATGAGCGCCATCCGCGACCGTGCCGAGCAGCTCCGGGATGGCAGTTTTTGCGACTACCGACCCGTGCTGCCACTCATGCTCGCCAGTTTCATATTTGATGTTCTCTGCACCCCCGGTGAGAGACTCATGCGCACACACGCACAAACACACACGCTCTCTTCATTGGCTTGTCCTTTGTGAGTTTGCGTACAGCCACTGTAATTATTTATTAAATAACCATAATTAATCAACTTAACCTTGTGCCTTTTTAACATTCTCTCCTCCTCTGTGCATGTGCGTGTGTATGCGCACACAGTGGTGTCTCCCACAGGTTCCCGTCCACCCAGCCGGAACCGCAACAACGAGATGCCGGGGGACGAGGAGCTGGGCTTTGAAGCAGCTGTGGCTGCACTGGGTAAGAAAAGGGCATGTCTGGGTCAACTGATCACCAGACAAAAATTATTATAAACAAATTTTGTAAACTGAAATAAAATACAGTACGAAAAATTAATTTTGAAAACTACCACTAAACAAAAACTATAAATATGGCCTCCAAAACAAACATTGTATACTCTCTGTTACAGTTTTTTAATGCTGTTTAGCTGAAGTAATGATTTTTTCACCTTTGCTGCTTGAAGGAATTCATTTAAGGAAATCCAGCATATTGCCTTTAGATGACATTAATAATACCTGGAACATGTTTTGCCCATTTTCAGGACATTCTACATAGTGTGCACTGTATGTTCTTAAACTGAAACTAAAATATAAACACTATATAGAAAATATATCTTTAAAATAAAAACTAATAAAATCACACTTAAAACTGAACTGCTTTACAATAAGACTATCCTTATGAAACGTTTGTGAATGGTTTATTATCAGGTAATTAGGTTGTAAAACATAGGTTGTAACATATAATAGACAATTATAAACAAGTTATAGCACTTTTTAAAAAAATTAATGGGTTAATACTATTTATAAGTAGCTAAAGGTAGCTTTGTTGTAAAGTGTTACCTTGAAAACTAACTAAACTATATTTCAAATGAAAATTGAAAATAATACAGATAAAAACTAAATTAAAAAAAAAAACTTGGAAGTATAACAAAATTGCTACTGATAAGTGTTGGACCCATTCTGTGGTTTACCTAAAATATTAGTTTGCCTGCTGCTGTGTAGTGGCCGGAGCAGGAAGGGTTGTTGAATATTTAGAGCCCTCTAGTGACAACAGGGTGGTACCACACAAGACAACATAAAGATTTAGTAAGCACCATGGAATGCAGTGTTTTCATGCATTTTTAAAGATCGACGGAAATACCTGAAAATGCACTTGGCGTTACCTCTTTATTTGTCCTCCCCTGGCAGGAATGAAAACTACGGTGAGTGAGGCAGAGCACCCCCTGCTTTGTGAGGGCACACGGCGGGAGAAGGGGGACCTGGCCCTGGCCCTCATGATCACATACAAGGACGACCAGAGCAAGCTCAAGAAGGTGAGTTGCTGAAGGATGAGAGTAGTAATGCCACCACCAGCCATGTGGCAATAGCCCATTATGAATTGACCCTCAGCATTGTTTACTCCTTGAAGACTCCTTGAAGTGACTGTGGCATGGGACATGTCTTATTATTATTATTATTATTATTATTATTATACATATTACTATGGAATAGGTGGTCTTGTGTATGGTTAATAGACTTTTCAGAGTCAGAGAGTGCTGGATTGCAGATGAGTGTCCTCCTTCTAAGCTTCATGCCACCTGTCTGTCTGTCGTGTCGCCTTGCAGATCCTGGACAAGCTGTTGGACCGTGAGAGCCAGACTCACAAGCCCCAGACCCTAAGCTCCTTCTACTCTAGTAAGCCTGCAGCTGGCAGCCAGAAGAGCCCATCCAAACATGCTACGCATGGGGTGGGGGGCATGGCTGGGGGCGTCTCCAAGCACGCTGCACCTGCAGCAGCAGGGACCGTGACCTCTGTGCAGACCGTGGCCAGCGGGGGTGCTGCTGGACAACAGGCAGGGCTTCCGGGAAGTGTGCCGAGTGCAGCACCGGGGGAGAGCTTCAGCGAGAACAGTGAACAAGGTACGATGGTGTTAGCCACTTTGTAATTCTGCTATGCTTATTAGGGATGTAAGTCATTGGCACCAAGGCAATTTGACTCAGTTATGATTGTTGAAGGAACAATTCGATGCATCGTAAATATTGAATTTCTATCACTATTCAGTTTGATCAATAGATTGTTTGATTATTTTGAAAATCTAAATTCAAACCTTTTTTACTTCACTGAAAAAACATCAAATATGGACATGATATGAATGAATGTGGCCTTATGTGCCTTTCTCCTGGGGGACAGTAGCAGCACCTCTGCTAAACAGTGCAAGCTGTTGTCCTGAAATCCTCTGTTTAGGTGTTTTTCCTGCTCTTGTTTCTGAGGAAAGATCACCAGAGAGATGTTTTATTAACCAGTTCAACTGTAGATGCAGTCAGACTTGAACCAGATATGAGCCAGACTCCAACCTATTGCTGCTTGCCTGATTTATGCTCTGTCCTTCTCCTCACACGCCCACAGATGGTGCCCAGCCCCCCAGGTGCGAGCAGCAGAGCGAAACCCCGCCTTTTAAGCCCGAGGCCACTGTGCCCAGCCGACTGGCTCTGGGAGGCCGCAGCGCGTACAGTGGCCGGTGCTGGGGCTCACCTGTCCGACAGAAGAAGAAGCATACAGGTGTCTAACTCCAACCCCTCCCACCCCCACTCCCCCATCGGGTATCCACAGAGGCAACACCTTAGTTTCTCCATTAGCATGATTCTTTAATATTGTCCGTTTGTGTCTGTGTGACAAGCCAGTAACATGGCAAATCAAATGGTCAGATATAGTTCTGTGAGACTTTCGACTAAAATTTTGAATGTTTTCAGTTCTGGGGTCTGTGGTAGTGTCTCAACTGCTGAAAACGGAGAGCTTTATGGTACCAACTCCAACCAGCTTTTGTAATGAGTCCGTTGCATAGATTGTTGATTTCTTTACATCGTATACGGCATGGGGATATTTGCACGCCAGCTGAAGTGGTCTTTAGTCACCGCAGGTTAGTGCTGCTGGGGTGGGTCTTCACATCCAACATCATTGCCAGACCTCACAAATGCTCTTCTGGGTGAATGGCCAAAAATTCCCAGACATACCCCAAAATCTTGTAGAGGGTTCCCAGAAGAGTGGCAGCTGTTATTGCTATAAAGGGGGAACCGACTCCATATGGATGCCTACGGAATTAGAAATGGATGTCATAAAAATTCCTGTGGGTGTAATGGCCAGGTGTCCTAATACTTTTCTCCAGATAGTGTATTTTCTAACTTTCATAGTGAGATTGAAGGTCTTACTTATTAGGGAGTGAGTTAGCTTCCCAGCTTCTGAAGTTTATCTCTGAATGGCAGGAGATTATTTTTCCTGAAGGATCCCTATGCCAGTGGCGTTCAGATCTGATCACCGGCTTGTCCCCCCCCCCACCCCCAGGCATGGCAAGTATCGACAGCAGCGCTCCTGAGACCACCTCTGATAGCTCCCCCACGCTCAGCCGTCGCCCGCTTCGTGGAGGCTGGGCAGCAGCATCTTGGGGGAGGGGACAGGACAGCGACAGCATTAGCAGCTCATCCTCAGACTCACTGGGCTCGTCGTCGTCCAGCGGCTCACGCAGGGCAGGAGGTGGGGCTAGAGCCAAGAGTGCTGATACCAGCAGGTAAGCAGGGATAAATGTCCATGTGCTGGCACTGCATGTGAACACAGGTGGGCAGGCTTCCCTTTTGGGATATGAATTCTATTGTAACACAACATACTTGTAAGAGCACAAGATTAACATGCCAGTGAAGCCTGTTTTAGCCAGCAACACTGACTTTTGAACCCATTTCACCACCTACAGGTATAAAGGGCGTCGTCCTGAGTGCCATGCCCCTCACGTCCCAAACCAGCCCTCAGAGGCTGCCGCCCACTTCTATTTTGAGCTAGCCAAGACTGTGCTGATTAAGGCCGGAGGCAACAGCTCCACCTCAATCTTCACTCAGCCCTCGGCCAGTGGTGGCCACCAGGGGCCCCACCGCAATCTGCACCTCTGTGCTTTTGAGATCGGCCTGTATGCCCTGGGTCTGCACAACTTTGTGTCACCCAACTGGCTCTCCAGGACATACTCCTCCCATGTGTCCTGGATCACGGGTGAGGCTTCATATGTGACATGCGTGCAGCATTATGGGAATTGCTGGCACTGCTTTTTCTGTTTTCTTGAAAAAGGCCTGTTTTTAACAGAAATGTGCTTGTACAGCTGCTACATGCTATTATTTGGTCAGTTTTTGTTTTGTATATTAGTTTTATTTCCTGTGATTGGTGAGTCTCAGTGGGTCTGCCTGTCTCTTCCTCCATCTCCTCATATTTGGCTGCTTCCTGGCACTATAGGCCAAGCCATGGAGATTGGCAGTGCTGCCCTCAACATACTGGTGGAGTGCTGGGACGGGCACCTTACCCCTCCCGAGGTGGCATCCCTGGCGGACCGGGCCTCAAGGGCACGCGACCCCAACATGGTGCGCGCTGCTGCAGAGCTGGCACTCAGCTGCCTGCCACATGCCCATGCCCTCAACCCCAACGAGATCCAGCGGGCACTGGTGCAGTGCAAAGAGCAGGTACCTCAGTTACCATCCTGTAGGGGGTGACCCATGATTACCCAACTGTGTTTCTTACTGTCTTTAGCACAGAACTGTTACAATCAAGTAAGCATCTGTGTAATGTACCTCTTCATGCCTTTTCACGTTACTGGGTTGTATAAATAAGATTGCTTAGAAATTTAGTTATCTTGCCATTGTTGTGCCAGTGGTTTTATGAGCTGTGTCCCCTTCCTCCTCCTCCAGGACAATGTAATGCTGGAGAAGGCCTGCATGGCAGTGGAGGAGGCAGCCAAGGGTGGGGGCGTGTACCCTGAGGTTCTGTTCGAGGTGGCGCACCAATGGCACTGGCTGTACGAGCAGACGGTGGGTGGGGGCACGGGCTCCCAGCGTGAGGGGCCAGGCCGCTGTGGTGCCAATGGCGGGGCAGGGCGGAGGCAGCCCGAGGTGGGCCGTGGGGCCCTGGACGGCAGCGGACCCATGGACCCAGGGGGGGTGGCAGTGACGGCGGCTGTCACAGCCGTTGTGCCCGTCATCTCTGTGGGCTCCCCCATCTACCAGTCGCACGCGATACCCGGTTCAGCCATCGCCCACCCTCACCCGCAGGGCCTGCACCCCTATACAACCATCCAGGCCCACCTGCCCTCAGTGTGCAGTCCGCAGTACCTGGGCCACCCCCTGCAGCATGTGCCGCGCCCGGCTGTTTTCCCTGTGTCTGGGCCAGCCTACCCACAGGTATGAAACAGGGTCTAACTGGAAGTGCTGCCGCTCTGCTCACACAGGTGCTCATGAAAACTCTCTATGTGTACTGGAAGCTTTGCAGAGCTTGCTTCTTGCGCTTTCTGGGGAAGCTATAGCTCTGACTATCTACTGACAATTGTGTGACCTTTGCCCCCCCCCAATCCTTAGGGAATGCACCCAGCCTTCATCGGAGCCCAGTACCCATTCTCAGTGGCTGCCAGCCCTCACCCACCCATGGCGACAGGCACAGTGACATTCCCAGGGGTGCCTGTGCCATCCATGACCCAGATAGCGGTACACCCTTACCACACAGAGGCGGGTATACCCCTCAGCACCACGGTGGCAGGTAAGAGTGGAGCATGTGCAATGTGCACCCCTGTTGTCTATTCGTCCCTCTGGCCGAAGTACTTTAATCCATCTGTCCTCTCTCTTCAACAGTAGGTGGTGTCCATTCCAGCTCAACCATCCAGGCCATTCAGGGTGCATCACTTACTGGTCTGTCTTCCCAGTCCACGCCATTGGTCAGCCCGCCCTTCCCGTCCGAAGACGAGCAGCACAGTCAGCCAATTAGCCAGCAGGGCCTGCATTACTTGCATTCTGCCTATAGAGTCGGTGAGGGGCCTGCCATCAACGGTCTTGTATGTTGGCCGCTTCATGTTTGTACATAAATCTCTTGCACATTTACCTCAGAATTCCTGTCCCGTAAAACACATATTCTTCCTCTTGGAATTCAGCTTGCCGGGAGGGTGTATTGCATGCATGTTGCTGTGCTTTGCTTAATCTGTGCAGACACACAGACTTGTGATTGGCCGCCTCCCTCCCTTCACTGCAGGAATGCTGGCCCTCGAAATGCTGGGCCGACGGGCCCACAACGACCATCCCAATAACTTTTCCCGCAGCCCACCATACACTGAGGATGTCAAGTGGCTGCTTGGGCTCGCCGCCCGCCTGGGTAAGCTACCTTCTCTTCGCCTGCCTGCTAATGGGAGGGGGTTTACCAGGGAGGGGGGTCTTGGCTGAAATATAATCTGTGCCATGTGGGGCTGGGCACATGCAGGCGTGAGCCACGTGTACCAATTCTGCTTGGGTGCGGCCAAGGGCGTGCTGAGCCCCTTCGTCATGCAGGAGATCATCATGGAGGCACTGCAGCGGCTCAACCCCGCCCACATCCACGCCCACCTCAGAACTCCCGCCTTCCACCAGCTGGTGCAGCGCTGCCAGCAGGCCTATCTACAGGTATGGGGACTACTGCTGAGGGCTCGACTGGGGGAGGGGCTGACCGCACAGCATGAGAGGCTGGTGTGATTGGCTGACAGCTGCAGTATATCATGTTAATTTGCATATTGAAGTAAAACAGTTTAACACACATTTAACATACCTTTTAGGTGACTACATCATTCTTCCTCCTTACTCACCTTTAAGCTCTTTCTGGTGAAAGTCCCAACATGGTGCCACATGTATAAAGTATGCCCAGATTTAATAGACCTGTCAAAATACTCAATTCAGTTTATTGGTCTTATTGTCAAGAGACTGCTGTTTAATACAACAGGTAGCAGGTGTCTGTCCTGTAGTGTGACTGCATAGGTCAATTTCTCAAACACAGCTAGCTCTCTGTCTCTCCCTACCTCCCTCGGCAGTACATCCACCATCGACTGATCCACCTAACGCCAGCAGACTACGACGACTTTGTGAACATAATCCGCAGTGCACGAGGAGCTTTTTGCCTCACGCCTGTGGGCGTCATGCAGTTCAACGACGTGCTGCAGAGCCTGAAGCGTGGCAAGCAGACCAAGGAGCTCTGGCAGAGGATCTCTCTGGAAATGGCCACCTTTTCACCCTGAGGTCGCTCCCTTGGCTGCCCACCCTCAGAACAAGCACACACATCCCCTCTCCTGAAACACAAACGCCCTGTGCCCTTTTCCCACAGTCCTGCATGCAGACACATAAGAGTACACACGGCCCACAGGCTTCCCTGGCCACCAGTTTGATGCATCATCAGACTATGTAATGGTGCTGTGGGTGGGTGACGCTGAGCTCTGGACATGCAAAGGATGGGGGTGTCGGATAACTTCAGCAAATATTTCCCCATCTACATCCGGGCTGACCTAATCCACACCTCAAAGATTTCCCCCTTTATTCCACATTAGTTTTATCTTCTGCCACCCCCACAGCTGTATCTCTCTGAATCTTCCAGGGAAATATGCCAGCCGCTCCCGTCCTCAACAAGGTCTCCAGATGTCACCCTTCTTCAGTGACATTGCAGGCTGGTCAAAGCCCTGCCTCCCCGCCCTTGACAGTCTTCAGTCTGGTAGATGGTGAGCTGGCTGTGAATGTGGTCGTTTTAAAACAGAATTTGATGTTGTTGGTTGGTTGTTTTATATGTGTATATACAAAAACCACTGAGTCCGTAATCCATACTGCAACATTCCTCTGCCCTGGGCGGAGTATTCCTCCACCAGCCATTTTAGTTTTAAAGTTTGGGTAATTCTGACAGTGATTACATGAGAAGGAAAAGAAATTTATTAAAAGAAAAAAATTATATTAAAAACAATAACCTGAGTACGGGTGACCATTCTTTGTTTTGTTATTTTGTATAGAATATGTTTTTGAGGAGTGAATAGGAAGAGCAAAAGTGGTAACAACATAGGAGAGATTTCTTAATTGTTTGGAGGGACTCGGACAGGGCTGTGAGGCCCCAGCACACGGGCATCTGGCTGGCAGCCACCTGATCGGGCTAAGTAACCAGACCTATGGTCTGAGACCAACAGTCTAAGCTGCGTGTCCCCCCGTGTGCTGTAAGCCAGCAGTCAGTCCTGTCTGGCTGCAGAGTGAACTGAATACAAAATGTACTGTGATATTTTTGTATTATTCAAAGTGTAGGAGAACTGGATGAAAATGTATGAACATTTTTGACTGCAGGGGGTGTAATGTAGAAAAATGAGGAAAAAATGGTTAAAGCAATATTGAAAATGTAGAGTTTACTTAATAAAGATAATTCAAAACACTACATTTTTATGATGGCTGAATAGTTTTGGGGTGAGTGTCTTAAAGTTGTCTGTGTCTTAAAGGAGCATCTACATACCTAAACGGATAGCATGTATTATGAATGGGTGAACAGTCACTGTTGAACACAAACAGCAGCTTTAAAAGACCTAAAACTCCAATAATTCAGTGATAGGGAAATTTTAACCAAAGATTAAAATTTACATCTGTAAATACAGTTTGTTAAATTTCTGCTATTTCATAATTAATACAATATAATTCCTCAAATGATGCCACTTTCAAGAAAGGAGAAAGTGGCTCATCACAGCACAAGTGAATGCTGATCCTGTACAATTGCAAAATACTTTGCCAAAAGAAGTGAAAGGTAAAATGCATCTTGGGGAATCATATCACAAGTAGACACCTGAAAAACGTCACCATTTACATTGTGTATCGTGTCTCCAAGGTGTCCAGCTGACTACATGTTCAAATTTCATTACTGTCTATGCCAGTTCCGCTAGAAGGTCTAATGGCCTCGCTTAGGGTTATTATGCAAGTCTCTGCCACCAGACAAGTGCCAGATTTGTTTAGCATGGGCTACCTAATAAAATAAAAATGTCAGGTTACGATAGGAGTCGTCTAGTTTTCTTTGGACTGAATCTTCTGCCCAAAAGGAAATTAGGCATCTGGTTTTACTTGCATTCCAATCACATACATCAGTGCCCCTCTCCATTTTTTTAAGCATTGGCATGTCACTGAAACAACCACCATGTCCTGCATTGATGACGTATTTTGCTATGACATCCATGGCAGAGATGCATAAGGACGCATTAACGTTAACACTACAAAAGATACTCAATTCAATTTTATTTGTATAGTGCATTTTCATAACATTACATTGTGATAAAGTGCTTTACAAAAGTCCTAATTCACACTATCCAAATCTTAAGATTTGAGTTTCAAAGTGGGGGGCGGGCAGGTGGGGGCAGGCAGATGTATGCGCTGCTTCTGATGGCAGGACAAGCAGTGATACAGGCAGGAGAGACATCACAGGCAGAAATGCGAGCAGGACAGAAAGACGTTACAGGTAGTGGAGGTGTCGCAGGCAGCAGGGTAGGAGGAATATCATGATAATTTAGTGTTTCCAGGCAGCATACCCCAGGAGGGATAGGGTAAAAAAACTGTGCAATTAGCCAAAGTAGGGGAGACGAGAGGCAATGCAAACAATTAGGTAAGTGCAATATTTAAGCTCTGGCAGATATGGCTATGGCCACATAAATAGGAGGGAGAGGCAAGTGGGAACGTAGACATGGGGAGTCCCTGAAATGTCAGCACTCCAATTCCACAAGGGGGTGTTAAGCTACAGTGACACCACCGACAGTTCAGTTCATCCAAAGCCAATGGCACCGATCCCCACCCAGCTCTACACCTCACACTATAGGTCTAACTGGGAGTAAGCAGTTAGCTAGAGTTAGAACTAGAGTCTAGATTTGAATATTGAGAGTGAGCCTGAATCTCGCATATCCGCTGGAAGACTATTCCACAGCTGCGGAGCTGTACAAGAGAATGCTCTGCAGCATGATGATGTTCTTTCTGTTCTAGGTACTAATAGATATCCTGCTCCTTGAGATCTAAGCAAGCGAGGATGGTTGTAAGAGACCAGTAGATCTCTAAGGTATTCTGGTGGAAGGCTTTATAAGTTAATACCAGTATTTTGTAGTCAATCCAAGACTTAACTGGAAGCCAGTGAAGGGAGCATAGAACAAGGCTAATATTAACAACTCTGGCTGCTGCATTTTGTACTAGCTGAAGTTTATGTAAGGATCCAGATGGGCTACCAGAAAGGAGGGCATTGCAGTAGTCCAGTCTGGAAGTTATAAAAAAATAAATCTGAATCAGCCAGAACACCAAGATCCCTGACCACTGTGTTAAGCTGAGTAAGAAGACCACCATGGTTGAGGTTGTCAAACTTATTTCAAGCAGCCTTGGGTCCAGCTAGCAGTACTTCTGTTTTTTTTGGGGTTTAACATAAGAATATTTTTTGCCTTCATCCAACACCAGACGTCTAGTAGACATAATCTGGTTTAACATACAGTACTGTGCAAAAGTCTTAGGCAGGCAAAGAAAATGATGTTTAGATTATCCTCGTGTTGGTGTAAAACTATGATAATATGCCTGTCAAAGTGTGTCAGCTTAGCCATTTCAGAACCTCTGCTAAAATCATCCTAGTATTTGCAGCGACCGTCCAGTGCAGCCATGTATTTTTTGACTTGGCCACTAGCACACCTCATACAGCTAGTCAATCTGTCACTGACTTTTTTAAACCAATTTATTTTATTATTTAATTGAGCTGTTGGTGAAATTTAACAAAATCATGGAACGGCTCAGGTGCCCCTGAGGAGAAGCTTGGGAACTGAAGCGGTGTTCATCTAGCCATCCAACTAGATATCAGTAACTTTTTAGAAAACAGAAGAAATTATTACTAGTTTTTATT